ATGTATTTATCGCCTCAACCAAGCGTTTGAGATGAGATTCTATAAGGGAATTGCCATGATCAATTCAAATTGACATCCCGAAAATCATGTAGCCTGTAAGTAGCCAGGGATAAACATCAAGGATGTTCAAGTTGACACATGGATATGACTGTGGGGTGTTAGGTGGTGACCAGTTGCATGGTGTTGATTCCGACACACATTTGATGTGATCCACCATGATGTGTGATTCATACCGCATATGTAATATAAGTGACCAAAACACCTACTTGTATAGAAAAGAAGATCATATTCCTTTTTGCCATTATGCGAGGCTAATAAGTAGGTGACCCATGATGCTCTTGTGGACCTTAGATTGCATTAAGAAACTTTACTTCGATCATTCACTTTGGCATGTACTCTTTAAGGTCAAGTATAAGACTCGTCTGGGACATTATTGAGACAATGGTCGGGGTCAGAGTAGAATAATGTATGTTGTAAGGGAATACCATTTGATATCACATTCTATTTTGATACCACAAGAAAACAATGCATATTATGCGCGCATTGACAATGATTATGTATGAATGGGCTAAGTAATCTTTTGAGCTGGGCTCATTAGGGATTAGTTGAGAACTTAGTTCGGTATGGTCGAGTCTAGGGCAAGTGGAGCAGTTTTTGTTTTGCAAGTATTGGAGAGATGAGGTGTTCCATGCCAGTTGGTTGGAAACTTGGTATGGCTCTCTCTAACAGAATGTTTGCTGCAGTAGCTTGCACACCGTATTTTTCCCTTTGTATGAAAAAATACTCATGATGCAATAATGAGTGACAACTCTTATTTGAGCATATAACCCTCCTACATACAGGATGAGTGGGAGATGTAGACATGAGGGTGCATCCCTGGTGTGAGGGGACACCCAAGTGGACCACACTCCCTTCATGTTTGACTTACAACATTAAAGGAGGTGTGAAAATGTTACACCTCTTCATGGGGTTATACCTCTTCATGAGGTTACACTTCGTCATAATGTTACACGTCTTCATAAGGGGGTTACACCTCTTTATGAGATGACACTTTCTCTCATTATAAAAGGGGAGGGGTGGAGGTCTCTGTATATATAACACAACACACACAAGAAAAGTGTGAGAGCACCTTTTGAGATATAGAGAAAAAGTGAGAGATAGAGTACAATCCCCCTCCCATTTTAGATCTAAGTCGAGATCCGGCCTTGAGTGATAAAGAGTTGTGCGTGAGAGTCGAGTCTGGACATCTCCTATCACATCTATTGGAGTGTTTGTGAGTTTCTACCTCGCTCGGGATTCGCGGTGTGGAATTGATTTCGGCAACTCTAGTAGTTGTCGAACGTGCCTACGTGAGTTGATCATTCCTCTCTACATTTGTTCACCAAAATTGTTGTACGAGCACTCAAGTATGATACCCGATATTCGGTTATTTTATTTTGCTTCCACTTCAGCCGTTGGACCGTATTTTTTCCAACAGATGGTAAGAGCAAAATCAAAAACCCATACTACAAATCAAGGCTAAAGTCCAACTGGCCTCTTAAAATCTGGATCACAGGGACATTATCGGAAGAGCATCTTAACCTTATTGTTGGCCTCAATACTTCTGCAGAAGTTTGGAAATGCCTGAAGAATGCCTATGTAGGTAATTCTCAAGCTAGGGAGTTCCAACTTACCCAACATGTCCAACTCTGCAAGAAAGAAAATTCAACCCTATCGGAATAAATATGTAAATTCAAGAGTATTTGTGATGATTTGGTGGCTATTGGAAAACATTTACCAGATGGAAATAAGGCATTTTGGTTTCTTAATGGACTTGGTTCAAACAAGAGAGTTTTGTTATCACTATGCTTAAACCTGTGATTCCTTCATATTTTGAAATTATATATCTTCTTTAAAGTTATGGGATTAAAGATCACCCCCATGTCTTTGACGCATACACGTCTCCAAATCAAAATATGGCCTTTGTTGGACAATTTTTTTTTAGATCCAATAGAGGTAACCAGAACTACAAAGGTAGAGGGAGAAACAACTTGTAGTGGTTCTTTCATTGTATATATGATGGTAATACAATGATGTAACATGCACTTTCCTATCTTGTACATGCAATATACATTTTCCTATTTATATTACATTCTATAATGACAATATTTTGTTTCCTGCATAGCTTTTTTAAGGAACATGTTTTTATGGAACAACCTCTTAGACTTATGAGCTCAAAATATCCAAATCATGTTTGCAAATTAGAAAGAGCTTTATATGATCTCAAGCAAGCACATCGGGCTTGGAAATTATCCCTTTTGAACCAAAAATTCTTTAAGATGGAACTAAAGAACAAAAGTTGTAATTAAGGTGAAAGGTGACGTATGTGAGAAAGTACATGTTACATATACAGAATGGCTATCAATTCAAAAAGAGTCGTGGGTTGTTTAACAAATCGATCTAATGTAGAATATCGAGGAGTTAGTCGAGGAAAGATATATGGGAAGGACAACTATTGGTGAGTGGAAAACTCGTTTAGACGGCTTGATCAAATTAAATTAGAAGTTCTCATGGTAATCCAAGACAAGCTCGGATTGGTGGGTTATTAGATAATAGGAATATATGTAAAAATATTATGGCCCTGCGGGGACTGTAACAACAAATGAGGCGGAGTTAAGGCCTACTTCACAAAGAGTGACGATAACCAAGGAGTTTAATATGAAGGTAATTGTAGAAGGTAACTCTTTATATGTTAATTGTTAATATGGTGCGTCAATTATTCATGTATTTGTGACGATAACCAAGGAGTTTAATATGAAGGTAATTGTAGAAGGTAACTCTTTATATGTTAATTGTTAATATGGTGCGTCAATTATTCATGTATATAGGTAAAAAAATTTCATCAGCGAAGATGGGAGTTACTACTAGTAGGCCAACCGTTTGTTAGGGGGAATAAAGTTTTGAAATTGTATTTAGGACGTTTTGTATCTAAAAATGATTGTTTTTGTGATCTGATGGCTACGTATTTTGACTGTTGTAAGATGTAATTTCTTTGAGCAATAATGTTTGTTTTAACTTTTATTAAATTGGGGTTGTGTATGAGAGAGAGAGAGAGCACTTTATCTCAACTAGGAACTTCTGTCAAGATAGCTCATTGTGACACACCAAGTTGTCCATACGATACTTTGTACGATATGTATACAATAGTGTCAAATTTTTTTATCACTTAGATCGAGAAGGTTCTAGAGAGATCTAAGTGGTTCATGAGAGGTCTAGAAGGGCTTCTAGAATCAACCTAAGGAAAGAGCTAGAAAGGTCTAGAACATTGTCCGCTAGATTGTTCCTAACCATTGTATACTTGATAATTGTACATAATCTTGATCGTTCATTGTAAGACCAAGAGCCTATATAAGGAGGAGGGCTCCTCATTTAGGAGGCACGTCTGAAAGTTGTAAGCATTTGAACATTCTAGTGAAATACAAAGTTGTTCCTATTCGCTTTTGTATATGAGAAGTGCACACTTCTGTGTTGGTTGCTAATGTGCCTAGTTGGTGGTGCTTGTGCTTAAGTAGTACACACCAGTGCGGTAGGCTGACTGGTCCTCAAAGGGTTGAGTGCACAACTGCCGCACGGTCGAGCATGAGGCCTTATTGAGATGTGATACATAGAGGCATATATATTTGGTCATAGTATTTGGTCCCATGTTAGGGATCTACATGAGAAGTTTATGGGCAAATTCTATAAAAGGAACCCCAATACTTTTGTCAAGCCTAAGAGGAATGGCACCGGGGTAGGGCTTGGTTATTTAATTTAAAAGATGTATTATTAATTTTATTTTTAAAATTTAAGGATAATAAATTATTAAACAAAAAAAAGTAATATGTGGGAAACGGGCGGGTCGCTTAGTTTTGTCCTAAATAGTATTGGTTGGTTATGTCAGAGGACCGGTCAGGACTAGCCACTTTTGAGAGGGAATCGGTTGGTTCTCAATAAATGTGAGAACTGGACTGGTCCCACTCATTTTTTATGTAGATTGGGCATTTCCAATCTGGATTAGTGTTTTTTAAAACTCAAATTTTGGTAATTTTGACCATCTATCTTGTTAATAGTCCTATGGATGGGCTATGAATTAAATTTTTTTAATATTATTTAACAAATATTAACCTCATTAATTAAGTGTTAAATGAATGGCTAAAACTAATGCTATCAAGACTATATCAGGTAACGAACTAATGACAAGCCTTATTCAGCCAAAACTACTTGGCTGCCAGGCAAAATGGGATGGTCGAATTTTAAAAATAATATGAACTTAGTTTAAAAGTATGTATTATATAAAGAAAAAGTTTCCTATTTTGTTTGGCCAGTTGAAATCGGCAGATCAGACCAGCCAAAACTGTTTTAATACTGACTTTGATCAAAATCAATTTTTACTTAGAACCTGACCAACCAACGTATCAATCAATGGTCTGACCAGTAGGACCAACTATCCCGTTTAGTCTTGATAACTAAGGTTAATACTAACTAATATCCAAAATTTTACAAAATAAAAAACACAAGATATATCCAAGATACTAGAAATCCAAATTCAATCAAACACCAAAATTTCGCTAGCGCCAATAATTCATACTAACGTGTCATATACTACATGACAAGGTCACCAGCCTGCATCTTCGGACTTGGGATCTTAAGCAGCCCAAACCCAAAGTCTCAAGGTTTTTCATATTCCCCATTGTCGAATCTAGGGTTGGCAAAAGGCCAGCCTGGTCAGCTCTAAAATTAGGGTTTGGACTACAATCTATGGCATCACGCCCTGGCTAGGGCTAATACCATTACGGTTCAGCCAGACCGACCCGGCCCGACTTTTTTTCCTTATTTTTTCATTTATTTTTGTCCGGGTCCAGCTAAAATAAGGTGCCGGGTACAACGGCCGGCCGCGCCTGGGATCGTGAAACCGCCCGGTCTCGACCGATGGAGCGATGTCGACGGCCACGCTACCGGACTAACTACCGATTCCGCGTTAGCTTTTGTGTAGTTTTCAGTTTTCACCTGTCTATGAAAGCAGAAGAAAAGCGCCAATACGCGAGGAACTTCTCGAAGCAGGGAGCCATTTTGTGCTCTTCTCCATCCGGAAGCCTCCTCTCTAAATTCTCTTCCGGATGGGAGGACACTCTACCTCTAGTTCTAGGGTTTCCTCTGCGAGTTGACGTATGTTTGTAGTCAGCAGCTTTCCTTTCATTTTCGGAAGGTATATTGCATTTCAAGCTTTGGTGCCAGATAGGTTTCAATTTGTAACTTCATTCATTTCTCTCTCTACAGTGATTTTGCTTTTATAGTTCTTTTGACGTTTCTTCGATTATGGTGTCTCTTCTTTCGTGTTCTGTTCGTTATGAATAATTTTAGGTTCTCTCTCTGTAATTGCTTATTCTTTTATGAATACCATGGTCAAATGGCGGGGGCTTTTCATTGACCTTCGCTGCTCAGGAAATTCTCTGCAAATTGTTGATTACATCGATCCAAGTGTTTGCATTATTTGGAACTTTTGATTCATATATGTGATTCCGTTCTTTTGTTCTCTCTTTGTTTTGTTTTCGATAGTGTATGGTTTCTTTGTGTAGGAATCCATGTATAATGTGGAAATTTAGCCTAATAAGTATTATCTTTCCAGGGGCTATGTTAATAATATCTGTTTTTCCTGATGGATAGACCGATACCAGGTTCTTGGAAGACGCATAAAAATAAACATCAAAAGAAGCCAAGGTCTTTAAACTCGTCTCTGGCCTTGGACTTAGCCATGGCCCGAACCAAGTAACCCAGCTGAGTCGAAGTGGATTTGGCTGACTAATGTACAAGACAATAAAGGTTAAAAACAAAGTAAGCAATTTGTTAAAAATAGGGAATAATAAAATGAGTAATAGAATTCATTCGATACCTATAAAATTCCAAAAAGTACAATAAATATGGATTGTTGAAAATTTTGATTTATACTTTGAAATATTAAATAAAAATAAAAATAAAAAATAAGCATGTTGGGAGAGAACTTCCAAAATCATCATAGAAACCATATAAATGATCCAATAATGTAATTTTAAATCATTTAATTAAGATTTTAATAAAAAATTGGCATTTTTAATCATTTTAAATAGGGGTCGAGAGTTGGCCCCTGAAACTTGGTTGAGTCCAGGTGGACTCGTCTGAGTCCTGAAACACTAAGAAAAGCTTTTGATAAATGCAGAGAAAAGTATCTAGAAAGGTGGAAAAAACAAAGTAATACCAAGAGAAGAATTACTATGATAAATGATTAAGGGACTGTGATGTATCACTCAGTTCACAAAACTAAAAACAATGCATTTCCCTATTCTAAATTGGAAGTTGTAAAAAACATGTATCGTGCTGGAAACACATGCATTTCTGTTATTGTTGCAATTGTAAATGCTTTAGTTATTGAAATGCTTGTTAATTGGTGTATGAGCTATATTGGGTTCGTAATTTTGGCTTTGCCGCAATTATCTGATAAAGTAATTATGAGAAAGAATCTAATGAAATGTAATGAAATCTACCATGTAGTGATAGATGGAACTCTTGATCATAGCTACTTGAAGCGATTTAGAACCAAATTGATTTAGGAATCGGAAGCATGAAATCACCACCGTTTGAAAGATTCCTGTTTTTAAAATCGACGTCTATACAAGAGGAATTGTGGGGGATGAGATTCCTATTTTTAGGAATCGAGATTCGACTGGATAGAATTAAGATTCCTAGCTCTTCGGAATCGAGTTTCCAACCTAGTTGGAATCGACCAATATGGAATCCAGATTTCTTCATTTATAGAATTGAGATTTTGACATCTTCGAAATTGAGAGGGAACCAAGAGGGAAATAATGATACATGTCTCAATGCCAGTCATTGACCTACATGGCATACATGCATGTTTACAATTATTTGTATTATATTATTCTAACATCTTGGAGTTGCAATCTCTCAATTGGATCAATACAATGCATATTTAAGGAATTAAATAGAGAACGTGGATTGCCACTTTGGTTTCTATTGGTCATTTCATGCCAAAAAAGATTACTATTCCTTATAACTTGAGATTGTGTCTTGAACTCAAGTAGTTTGATGCGTTGAAAACGTCTAGATATCACTTCTCTAAAAAAAGCAACAAGAAAAAGGGGGGGAAGTGGTAGAATTCTGGTAAATGTGGAAACCGGTTTCAACTAGGTAGAATCTAGATTCAATAATTGCAGAATCGAGAATCCATAAATTGTGGAAATGAGATTATATAAGTCTTGGAGTCTAGATTCCTAAAATAAGGAATCAAGATTCCAAACTTCACGGAAATGGGTTATGTGAAGATTCCTAGTCGCAATCACCGAATCGGGGATCCAAATCGAAATCGTGACCTTTGGTGAGAGATTCGAATAACTACTTTCTTGATATTATTGAGTGAATTTCTTGAGCTTACTGGAAATTTGTGTCATGGCAATGTGAATCTTCTACCTGGATTAGTGAGCATTCTTTATTACTGTTGCCTATGTTTCCATCAATGGAATTTTTACGTTAGCATGCTTTCTTTCTTCCATTTCTAATGACAAAGGCATTTCAGTTTTTTGTTGCATGTGCACACCATCACATATTTGATTATGTATCAGTCCAATTGATTATATTCCTCATTCATCTTTCGTTCATTTTGTAGCCTGTTTGGGAGCAGTGTCATGCCTATCTAATACTTATCCAAGGTGGACACCTATGAATTTGTGTGCCATAATAGTGCATATTTCATGGTGCGTAATTATGTACTTAGGTGTAAATTTTCTATGTTTCATGGTGTGTTATTAGGTTGAAATCATTTTTGTTGTTTAGTGCGGATGGTGTGAAATACATGTAGTTTGATCATTCATTATTTCATGAGTTTAGGTTTATTTATCAATACCTATGTTTCCTTACAGATCTAGTGGCTACCTAGAGTTTGTAATCAAGATCCTTGTGCAACATAAGAGAGCACACTGTTTCACAAAAACATGTTGAGAAATTTGACTATTTATTGGGTAATGAACATGCGGCAGCTTTTGATCAGTTTATTACTCTGATCTGTCCTCCGAGGTTCTCTTCTGATGTAAAGGAGCCTCAAAATGGGATTTTTGTCAAGGGGGCACTGAGTATGCTTGGAACCCATGATAGAAGTTGGTGGTTACCAAAAATCATTGGGTTCCAAGCCTAGATGTTGGTAATATGGGATCCTTAGTCATGCATTTGAGAACAAACAGATGCTGCCTCCAGATCAGCACGTTTTTTGTTGCTTCCATACTGATAGCCATCAGTTTTTACCATTTATTCATATGTGGAAAAGCTCGTAACATATTACCACCATCTTCTTTTACTGTAGTCTTGGACTGTGGAAGCACTGGAACACGAGTCCATGTCTATGAATGGTCTAACAACAGCGCTCATTATGAAGGTCTTCCAATTTTATTGCATTCATTTCCTGACTATACCAAAGGACGTTCTCAACAATCCGTTGCATGTGAATACCATTGCATGCAAACTGAGCCTGGTCTGGACAAGTATGTGTCCAATGTATCGGGATTAGCTGCTGCATTGGAGCCCCTTCTTCATTGGGCAGGGAATATAGTACCCTCCAAAAAGCACAAAACTACACCCATTTTTGTACTAGCTACAGCTGGACTTAGGAGGTTGCCTAGTGAGGATGGAAGTTGGGTTCTGGAGAATGTTGAGTATATCATAAATCGCTATGGGTTTATGCATCAAAGAAGTTGGATAAGAATTCTCGATGGAAGAGAAGAGGCTTATTATGGTTGGCTTGCTGTCAATTATAAAATGGGTCGATTGGGGAGCTCTTTAGATAAGCCCACTTTTGGAGCCCTTGACTTGGGGGGTTCTTCCTTGGAGGTTGTTCTAGAAAAAGGAGAAGTGGAAGAAAACCAGCACTTCTTGAGATCACAAATTGGTTTGGTTGGACATAATCTATTGGCATATTCGTTACCATCATATGGATTGAATGAGGCATTTGAGAGGTCCCTTGTATTACTTAGCAAAGAACAAAGCCTCAAGAAGAGTAGTAGTGGGAAGCTAGAGCTCAGACACCCATGTCTCAATTTAGGATACATGGAGAAGTATACTTGTAATAGTTGCAATGTGATGCCAAAAGCAAATGCCCAGCTTAATAGTAGTGGCAGCTCACAAATTTAGAGGTCTGAATTGTTTTATTTGGTCGGAGATCCAGATTGGAGGCGATGTAAGGAGCTTGCAAGAGCTACAACAATACAATCAAATCGTTTTGATGCATGGCAACTCTCTGTAGATATGAACTGCAAAATGCAATCTCATGCTTTGATTTGTAAGTTTGGTCGATCCATCTGCTTTTGTTTTCCTTTTTTTAATTTGTTCAAAGAATTATTAAATATTTTGTTTTCTTTTGTGAAATTATTGGAGTGATCTTTTAAGCATTTAGAAATTGCCATTGAACTTGTATAAGTGACCAAAGTAGTCCATATTTCTAGCTTTTCTTATATGATGCCTATGATTGCAAAGAGGGTTACTTCTTTGCAACATTTTACCTTCTATTGGCTTTGACTTTTGGCACAAACTGCCAAATGCAACAACCAAAAAAAGAAAAAAAAAGGCCTACCTCGTGTACATTATTGTAGTGATTTAAGTTATGCGACAACCAAAAAAAGAAAAAAAAAGGCCTACCTCGTGTACATTATTGTAGTGATTTAAGTTACTCCATTAGTGCTTAAGTAGTGAATATCAGTAAGTTCTATTTGTTTTGTAAATATTAACCATCACTTTGATTAATGCCAGACTTGTTATGATGATATTTAAAAGAATAATATTTGTATAACACTGATATGACTGTTTGCAAGGTGACAACAATTATAGGGTTTCAATCCATGGAGGCTACTTCCTCCTAGATTTTTTTAAGTATTGGATTCCTTAATACCTTTGGTGGCTTTTCTTGCACTCAACATTGCCCCGAAGCATAGTTGTTGGTTATGGCGATGGGAACGGTTCTGGCATTGGGGGTGGGATTGGTGGATCGAAGCTATACTGAAGATTCCTGTGTTAAGGATTGATGCCTGTACAGCGTCAAAGGCAAAGCTATTAAAACATACAATTTACATCCAAGCCTTATCCCAACTATTTGGTGTTGGCTACACGAATCTTGTTCCGTCATTCTGCTCTATCTAAGGCCATACCCTTAGTCAGACCATAAGTCACCATGTCTCTTCTCACAACTTCAATCCATGTCCTTTGGGGCCTTCCCCTTACCTTTTTAGAGCCTTCTATTTGAACCATATCACCCCTCCTAACCGGTGTTGTTTAGGTCTATGCTACACATGGCCAGTCCACCTAAGTCTACTTTCCCCCCTCTTATTGCCTATTGGAGCCACCTCTAAGATCTCTTGTATGTATTCATTATGAATTCTATCATTTCTTGTCTTGCTACTCATCCATCTCACCTCAACATCCAATTCTCAGCTGCACTCATTTTATAAAGCATAAGTCCCATAAAGTATGGTTGGTCTTAGAATCATCTTATAAAACTTCCCCTTAGTTTTATTGGTAATGCGGTGCCCACATAAAACTCCATATGCACATCTCTACTTCGCCCACTCAGCTCTAATTCTATGCATGACATCTTCCCCAATCTCTCCATTCTCCTGGATTATTGACCTAAGATATCAAAAACAATATCTTTTAGGTATTTCATGGCCATCAATCTTAATTTTTCCTTGTTTCTACTCTTAATAACTAAGCTTGCCTTTCATATATTCTTTCTTAGTCTGGATAATTTTAAAACCTTTAAATTCTAGAGCATCCCTCCAAATTCTAACTTTGCATTGACGTTGCCTCTAGTCTTATCATTCAAAACTATGTCAGCCGCAAACAACATACACCACGGTACCTCATCCTGTAGATGCTTAGTGAACTCGTTCATAACCAAAAGAAAGATATATGGGCTCAATGATGAGCCCTGATGTAAGCCTATAAAGACTCATTTGTCTCTCAAGTAGTTATCTCCACACTAGTTAGCTCTCCCTCGTACATATTTCTCACCACGTTAATGCATCCTCTAGAGACTCCCTTCTTTTTGAAACACCCACTTGACTCTCTAGGTATCCTATCTTATGCTTTCTCTAAATCAATAAAGACCATGTAGAGGTCTCTTTCTTTCTCCGTAAACTTCTCAATCAGTTGGCTAAGTAGGGAAATAGTTTCAATTGTTGGCTTCCCTAGTATAAAATCGAACTTCTTTAAAAAAATACTCGTTTCATATCTTAGTCGTTGCTCAATTGCTCTCTTCCACAACTTCATAATGTGGCTCATAATTTTGATCCCCTGATAGTTCGTATAGTTCTGTTTGTCTAATTTGTTCTTGTAAATAGGTACCACAATACTTTTTTTCCATTCGTAAGGCATTTTTTTTGCTGTCAACATCTTGTTGAAGTTGAACAACTTAGTCAGCCAGGATATGTCAATATCTCCCATGCACTTCCAAACTTCTATCGGGATACCATCTGGTCCTAAAGCCTTCCTATTGAAGTTACAATAAACAAAATAGAGAAGAGAAAAGAGAAAATCGATTAACACAACATATACGTGGTTCGGCAATGGTGTCTACATCCACGGAGGGTAAACCAGTATTTCATTCATAGGGATTACTTTGGTTTACCAGAGATTTATAGAGTTACAATTCTCCTGTCTTTTAGAAAACAAATCTCATCACAACAGTAATCCCACAAAATAAGAAATTCAATATCTTGTAATCCATAATATAGGAAACTTAATATCTTGCTGCCATAACCATCAACACTGCCCCTCAAGTTGGTCTGTAGATATCCATGGAGCCCAACTTAGAAATAGCTTTAGTAAACATGTCGAAAGTTGGTCTTCACTTCAAACATAAGGAGTGACTGAACCTTTTCTCTTACAAAGTGACAATCAACTTCTACATACTTGGTTCTTTCATGAAAAACTGGATTGAAGGCTATATGCATAGCTGCTTGATGATCACATAACATTTCCATTGTATTGACCGTTGGGAACCCCATATCTCGAAGTAGTGATTTTAGCCATATCAATTCACTTGTAGTTGAAGCCATAGCTCTTTATTCACCCTCTGCATTGGATCAAGCAACTACATATTGTTTTTTGCTTTTTCAAGTAACTAAGTTTCCTCCGACCAATGTACAATAGCTAGTACTTGACCTCCTGTCAATTGGACTACCTGCTCAGTTAGCATCAGAATAACCAATAATATTAGTCTGACCATAGGTTTCATCGATGCGGGGTGACTTAAGATATCTGAGAATCCTATTGACAGCTTCCATATGATATGATTTAGGAGCATGCATAAATTGGCTCACAAGTTTAACTACATACATTATATCTGGTTGTGTCATTGTCAAATAAATCAATTTGCTCACAATTCTTTAAAAGCGACCCACATCTTCAAGAGGTTTTTCATTTGTTGAATTAAGCTTGCAATTAATATCAACAGGGCTGTCAAAAGGTTTGGCTCCAAGTTTCTTTCAACAGTTCTAAGATATATTTCCTTTGAGAAATGAAGAGTCCTTTTTTTTAATGTGGTACTTTAATGCCGAGAAAATACTTTAGTTGACCAAGGTCCTTGATGTCAAATTTCTTGTGAATATAATTTTTAAGCTCCATGATTCTTTTTTTATCAAGTAATGATAATATCATCAACATAAATTAGTACAGCTGTTGTACTTGAAGTTCCCCTTTTTATGAACACTGAAGAATCAATTGAACTTCTAAAACACCCGAACACTCGTAAAAGCTCAGCTGAGTTTGGCATACCATGCACGAGCGTTTGTTGTCCCTAAAAGGGATATTCAATGCCTTCTAATAATTTGATAGGCACTAGTGTGTCAGAATGACTACTATTTAAGGTCACAAGCGAAACTGTTGCTTCCATTAAGGGTGATTTTTTAGTGGAATCTGATAAATGCAATTATGTCTTGACCTGGGTCTTTGCACTCAAAGCAGAAATGGAATTGTTTGGTGAAATGCCTTAAGAGCTCTATCACAGTGATGTAACTGAAGGATTGACGAGGACATATATTCAAATCTTCTTCCTTGACATGCTACAGAATCATTTTAGACATGGTTCTTCACTCTAAAATTACAAGATCTAGTATTCCTTGTAAACTAAGAGATGATCTCAGTGTCTTAATTTAAGATCGACCACGATCATTTCATCGCTGTTCGCGATCGAGGGTCATATATGCATGTATTATTCTTGAAAGAAAATTGTGTTGTGGTGGTTGTGGCTCCTATAAATCGAGTAGGCTGTCAGCAGGAAAAGTGTTACACAGCATGCTTGTTTTTTCTTATGACTCATGAGGATTATGCCATTTATAGCTCATGTCCAATGTGATTTATGCCATCTATAGCTCGTCCTATGGCTTATGGTGTTTGTAGCTTATGTCCCATGACTTATGCTTTCCTGTGACTCTTGCTGTTTACAGCTTATGCCCTACATCTCCAGTGAATGCTGCTTTTAGCTTATGTCCTTCATGGCCAGTGACTGATGCTGTTTATAACTTATTTCTCGTGACTTATGGTTTATAGGATTCATGTCTAGTGCCTAGGTTTGATAACTAGCCAGGCTAGCCCAAGCCCAAGCCGAGTTGTAAATAGTGTTGTCTCTCCATGTGCCCAAAAATTTAGTTTCTGGCCTAGCCCAAATTCGTGATAACAAGGCCTGAGCCCGGCCTGAACCGGGAACATAGGGCATGTCTGGGCTGGACCCTATATAAATATGGGAAAAGAGGATATTAAATACACCTGATGTGCCAGCATTGATGTGGGCCCGGCGCAAAAGTATTTTGTGCCTACCAGGCCCGGCCCTGGCCTGTCCAAGGGCCTTAACATGGTGCTTGAACCCGGCCTGTTCCTCTTTACAGCCCTATCAGTGACTCATGCTATTTATAGCTTATGTCCCTGATGGAACCTAAAGTGTACTCCATGCAAATTAAAGAAAAAATGACTCCAAACAAGAGAAAACCAAAGAAATACACAAAACATGCTCAAATTCACCTCGATCATATAAAGTGCGAACATTTATCTTTTTTTCTTTTTTTTCTTGGTATGGAGTTCCAAGCGGTCATAAGCAACTCGTTTCGTTTACATCCTATTAGTGTACAAAAAGAAATACGTTTAATCCATGTCGTTAAAAAGCATTACATAGACTCAAGAAAAAATTACAGACATAAGTACTGGAATTCATAAAATTTCCGGATACCTTATGCATAATGTGAAGGTGTGCTAAGCTGAATTCTTCTTCAACTTCTTCACACTCTGGATCACAGATGTTTGTTTCTCTCTCTTGCTAGAAGTTTATGCAAATCTATGATATGGAAAAGTTCTTAACATGTCTTGGCTTCAATTCAGCAGTGTATTCTCTCTTGAACAAAGATTTTGGAGTTAGTAGCCTCAAAACCAAAGGCAAAGACCCCTTTATATAGAGGGCTTTGGTCTTGGGTGAGATGGACTTACATTTAATTTGGAAACTTTCCTTCTTCAAATTCACATCTTAAAGAGTTTTTCTCTTTCCAGAGATAGGAGAGAATATTCTTCAAAATATCTCATGCTTATTTAAACACAATACTAGAAAATCAAGAGCAAAATAGTTGGACAATATATTGGCCCAGAGTTCGCAGCACTCAGGTGGCTAGGCTCGAAAAGTCTATTTCATGGTCAAATCGTATTCAAATTCAAGGTTTTTAAATCCCATTAACCAATGTTCTTGGTTGAGCATCCAAAGAGGATCAATGTGGCACAAAATTCATCAAAATGATGTTGTAAATTAAGAGAAGTTTGTATTTTAAATTTCCGCTGCAAACATATTTGTGCGTAATGGAAACCTGATGATTTCAAATATAATTTTCAGTTTATTCTCTCAAGATTGAGATTATTCTCCAGGAAATCGTATCTCTCACACATCTTCCTGATTTTCTGGGAATCATACCATTTGTAATCTTTTGAAATCATGCAAAGAATCTTGGATTCCAAAAATATCTTTCTTCCCCTAATTCTTATCAATTTGAGACTTAAAATCTATTTAAAACTTGCCAAGAAAGCATCCTTTTTATCCCAAAAAGGTTCCCTTAATGTCTTGGAATAAATCTTCATCAATCTGGATCTCAAAATTTCAAATTCGAATCTTCACTGCACTCAAGCATTTTAAAAGCATGGTAACTGTGGCGAAGTTTGAGGGGTGAGCAAAAACATTTCCAAACTCTATACATTTGAACAAGTTTTTATCACTTCCCTCCAGCATCCTACCAAATTTGATATAAAATGGACAAACATTTGACCTAATTCGAAAGTTCACCACAATCAAACCTTACATACATAAACTGGCTGCAGTGAACTCTGAACATCCCTCAATTCATCTCCAAAGTTTATGAATTTGGAGTGTAGGCTTATAGGGCCTTCTTGAGGCCATATCTAAAGCTCCGACCTGTTTTGAGCTCATTATTACACCTTTCAAAAGTTTTCCATTCCAAAGCCCATAGACTATGGCTTTGAATGTGACAAATTGCATTGTAAACAGCTTGGGTGGGTCGGGTCCAATCCGGACCATGTCAACTCCGGCCAGGGCTTAATCCTACTAGGTCCTTGTTGGACCTTGACCCGACCTAGACCATTTGCATGCAATGGACTCAGACCCAACCTGTTGGGTTAGGTCGGATATAGGTTTGTGTAAAAGTATATAAATATATATTCTATAATGGAAAATTAACATATATATCCCTTATTTTTAGGGATATTTAAAAAATGTCCCTAAAAATTTGAAGTTTACAAAGATGTACCTTTTTTCTAACAGAAACCAGCTCGGCACTGTCACTACTTTAGATATTGTTTTTTTTCCCCTTACAGAATCAAGTTTGTAGTCGTAGTCCTGAACTATTCCCCCCCCTCCCATCCTAAAAAGTGGTTTTATTGGGTTCTTATAGAACCGAACGTGACAAGAAATCAAGTTGATTTTGGGTGTCCAATTGCTCCATGTCTATGGAGGCTCATACCATTTTTTACCATATTTTCCACAATTTGCAGGCCTCTTCAAATTATTTTTCATCACACTTGGAGAAGAGGTCAACTTTGCCAATGGCGGTCTCATGGTGTTCTTCCTAGTTTTGTTTACAGTCTATGTATCTTTGAGAACCCGACTTGTGAGATGCCTTTTTGTATGCCTACAACTTCAATGTCGTTTTGTAACTACAATACTATAATTATATAACTTAAGTGCTCTAATAAAAATAATATGCCTCATTATGTATATATAGGAAGCCACTATGCAACACCTATGGGCAAAAATGAACAGTGTTTTCGCCCATAGGCTCAGTGACATCTGATTTTTTTCAACAGCGTGGATTCAAAGACCGCAACGGATATAGTAGGTCTGTTGCGGTATTTTTCACGCAAAAAAAACACGGGCAACGGCTACGGCTCCTGTAGATTCATAACGATTTTTAAGGTAAAACCGCCACGGACATGCTATTTCCGTGGCAGGGCGAAACACTATTCAATTTCGCTTATAGGTGTTTTAAGAGTTTTCCATATATATATATGTATGTATGTATGTATATATATGGGTTTTATTACGCTACACAACCAAGTGGCATATAGCTTTAAAGTCCTCAACATTTTTGGATGTGTAGATACCCTTGAATTGTAATACAAATTTTTTAAAGTAGGGGCATTTTTGGTCATTTAGAAGGGTAGAATGGATATTTCTATAAGAAAATAGTGGCATTCTATTAGTAATTGAAAAATAATTAATGCATCTTATGGGTGAGGTCACACACCATGTCGGTGATGTCATTGTCCACTATTGTTAATAAATGCTTTTGTTTCTATTAGGAATTTCTACTTTACCCTTGATTAATTACTTAAAATACCCCTAGACAAAAAGTTACTATAGTATAGGATAAGGGTTCTAAGTGTCCAAAAATGTTGAGGACTTTAAGGTATACACCACCAAGTGGTGTAGCCTAACAAAACCCTATATATATATATATGTGTGTGTGTGTGTGTGTGTGTGTATGTATATGGGCGCGGTTTGTATAGAGCCGAGGCTCTAAACAATCAAAGTAAAGCGCACCTTCAAATAATATCGAGAAATGTAGTTTTAATACTGGAAATCTTTGTGATAGCCTTAAAATATATTCTCATCTTTAATTATAAAATTTAAAGCTTAAAAAATAGTGTAAATCGAGCAGATCTATGAAAACTTGAAAATCTTGAAAATTAACAGTCCAAAAATGCGTTACAAGATGCACTATTTCAAAACCTTGAAATCCGTTTTTTTTCTCATGTCCATGCATCTTGATGTCGAGGTGATCAATTTGAGAATATTTGGGCATCAAAACAACCTCTTCTAGTGAAAATTTTGAGGTGGGCTATAATTTGATTGTTTAGAGCCTTGGCTCTATATAAACATTTTCTTATACACACACACACACTGCTGGCCCAAATACAGTGGATCTTTTTGGTTTTCAGACATAAATAGAGCTAAAATAAGATGCAAGTTTTTGAACTCAACCAAAAATATTAACAGCCATATGACATGCAACTCTTATCAAAGCACCCACAAAAAGTTGCTGCAAATTTTTTTGGGACTCAAGAGGGTGTACAAAAACGTTGTTAACCACAAAAGAATCAAAGTCCAAAATCAATTGCAACTATTGTAAACATTTTCTAAGCAAACCACCCCAATATAATTTTCGGCAATAATGTACCCATAAAAAACCCATCTAAATATTCCAACAAAATAAAATAATGCATAATAATTTTTCCCTTGCTCATACTATTGTCAGATGCAAAATATGAAGAAAAAATTGGAACAAACTGACCAAATTCATATGGATTTGCAGTCACAGTTTTGTAGTTTTTCTAGAGAGAATCTTGTTGAGAATGAATTTTTCAGCAATATATTACACAAAAGGGAAGACAAACTTGCTGTAAAACAATGGTCAGTAAATAATCTAAGGAGAAACTTTTACGATATGCAACACAGTGCTGGGATTTATCCAGTGACACTGGAGGACTTTCACAGAGATGAGAGGCACGTCCCTTGTACTCAGCTCACAAGGAAGTTTAAGAGAGAGAAAGAGGTTTTAGAGAGAGAGGGAGCTCGTGCAAAGGTGCCTTGGCTTCCCAAAGCCATTTCCCATATATAGCCACAAAGAGAAAATGAGAGAGACACATGTCGAGAGAGAATGGCCAAGTGTTGCCTCTCAATGGCCTCTTGTCCCTTTGTTCACGAGTCTCTTTGTTGTTCTCTACACAAAGCACTATCCTCTTTTAAAATACATTTTAAGTGGGGTAGAAAAAAGAAAAGAAATAAAATAAAAATTGGGCCATAATTTTGTAAATATTTAGAAACATATTTTCTCTAACATTCCCCCACTTGTTTCAAAATATTTGTAAAACCATTATACAAACTTTTAGTAGCTATATAGATGTTGCTCGAGCATCCTCAAACAACAAATCCATCCACACATATGATTCATCCACTCAATGGCATCAACCACACATTCCCACGCTCATGAATTGTTGTGACGTATTGCGTAATCATCAACCATATCATAAACTTCACCTACATGCTTCTAGTTGAACTTATGGCGTCAGATGAACTTATGGCCTCTTTAAAGCTTACGGACTCATCATCAAGTTCTGCATTATACCCATAGTATTCATCCTAGTAACTAGGTCTCTTTGTTTCCCTACTACTTCTCCTAGGCTCTATCATAATACTACTAGGGTTCTCATAGGAATTTCTAGGTTGCCCCATTTCTTCTTCTCCTATTTTTATAATTTTAGGTTGTTTTACCTTCGGCATTTCTTCATCCTCAAATAAATGAGCATCTCTACTTTCTATGATAGTCTTAGTTTCATGATCATGGAATCTATAACCCTATAACCTTTAGAGTGACTAGAGTACCCAACGAAAGTGCATTTAATTAATTTAGGTCCTAGTTTTTCTTTATTTGGGTTGAGGACATGAGCTAGACAACCCCCTACTCTAATGTGATCTAAATTAGGTTTCCTATTAAACCATAATTCAAAAGGGTTTCTACTTGTAGATTTGTTCGGAACTTTATTTAATATATAAGATGAGGCTAGCAAAACTTCTCCCCAAAATTGGCAAGATACAATACTTTCTTGTATCATACAATTAACCATCTCTAGTTCAAGTTCTATTTTTTCTTTCAGCCATACCATTCTGTGGAGGTGTATAAGGAAGCGTGTATTGTTTAATAATTCCATGTTCCTTACAAAAATTTTCAAACTCAAGTAAAGTATATTCTCCACCTATATCACTTTCAAAATTTTAATCTTCTTATCTAGTTGATTTTCTATCTCCATCTTACTTTCTTTAAATTTTTCTAAAGCTTCACATTTATGAGAAATCAAATATGTATATGTATATTGTGAATAATCATCAATGAAAGTAGTAAAATATTCGTGTCCTTTAAAGGTTTTAGCATTTAATCTTCCACAAATATCAGTATGGACTATGTGCAGAACACTTTCAGCCCTTAAACCCTTTGGGCATGGTTTTCTATGCATCTTTCCTTTTAAACAGTTTTCACATTTAAATTTATAGTTTTCACATTTAAATTTATCTTTTTCGTCATAAGGAATTAAATTTTCTTTCATCATTCTAGACAATATTTCATAACCAATGTGTCCTAATCTTCTATGCCATACATTGAAGCTTTCTTGGAAAGAAGAATCAACAATATAAGAGGAAGGTGATTGTATTTCATTATTCTCAAGTTTGTACAAACTGATACAAAGTGACGCCTTAGCCACTTCTACACCTTCCTTAAGAAAAGTCATTTTCCCCCCTTTTACATTCACTTCAACCCCATTCTAGTCTAGCTTAGGTAGGGAAATGAGGTTACACCTCATGTCGGGGGCATAAAGGACATCATTAAGGGTAAGAGTACCCCCACTAAGAAGAGGAAGCTTCACGGTAGCCACGCCAAGAATGTGGACCCAAGAGGAGTTTACCATATAGAGCTTCCAATCACCAACCTTCTTCTCTCTAAAGTCCACCACATGTTCCTTGCTTGTGGTGATATGCTTTGTTACACCCGAGTCAATCCACCAACCATCGGATGGGGTGACCGTGAGAGACTCTTCTACCACAAATGCAACATCCTTACGGTGATTGCGTTCTCCTCTCTCTATCTTTTTCAGTGGGGCCCTACAAAATTTGACAATATGACCAAGTTTGTTACAATTAAAACATCTTAATTTTTTAAAGAATTTTCCTTGTTTCTTGTCATCTTGCTTTGTTTCCTCCTCATTTTTTTTTATTCTCCTTTCTCTTCTTAAGTTTGGTTCATGGATACCCTTTTGAGTGCCAAAAAAGCCTTCTGTTGGGCTCTTTAATTTCTCTCTTTGGCCCTATCATTCTCTTCCATCCTAAGATGTCTTCTTAAATCATCAAGGGTGTGGATGGTACCATTGTGGCACGAGTTTTTCTTAATGTCTTTCCATGAATTAGGGAGGTTTTCTATTATCTTCATGATTTGATGACGCTCGGATATGGGTTCTCCATAACTAGCAAGTTAGTTAGCCATTATAATCCTTTCATAAAAAATTCTAGCATCAATTGGTTTTCTCTCATTTTATGTCGGTTATATCTTTCATAGAGTTCATGTTTTGCCATATAATTGTCCGCAGTGTGCTTTTTCTCAATAGCCTCCCATAACTCTTTAGCTTGGTGTAAGGTTCAAAGACCTTATGCAATCTATCACTAAGGCAATTCAAGATAGCACCCTTACATGTAAAATTATTATTTTTCCATTTTGTGTATCTTTGTCTCTCTCTAAGTGTAGAATCATCATTCGCTTTAGGTATGATTTCTTCTTCAATTACATATAACAAATTCATAGTATGCAGCAAATAAGATACTTTTACTCTTCCAAAGTGAGAAATTGTAGCGATCATGTTTATCAATCTCTACTAAATCAGTCAATATCGCTCTAGGATTATCCATTTTTTATACAAATTGAAAACCGCTATGCTCTGATACCAATTGTTGGCCCAAATACAATGAATATTTTTGGTTTTCAGAAATAAATAGAGTTAAAATAACATACAAGTTGGGTTTTGACCTCAATCAGAAATATTAACAAAAATATGGGATGCAACTCTTATCAAAACAACCACAAAAAGTTGTAAATTTCTTTGGGACTCAAGAAGGTGGACAAAGGTCACTAACTTTATTATCCATTAAAGAATCAAAGCCCAAAATCAATTGCAACTATTGTAAACCTCTTCTAATCATTCCAACAAAATAAAATGATGCTCAATAATTTTTCCCTTGCTCATACAACCTTTCTCAACCTTCAAGTACTATTTTCAGTTGCAAAATATGAAGAAAAAGTTGGAACAAACTCACCAAATTCGTATGGATTTGCAGGCACAGTTTTGTAGCTTTTCTAAAGAGTGAATCTTGTTGAGAATGAGTTTTCCAGCAATAAATTATACAGAAGGGAAGATAGTCTTACTACACGACAATGGTTAGCAAATAATCTAGGGAGAGAAACTTTTTCGAAATGCAACGCAGTACTGGGATTTATCTTGTGACACTGGAGGGCTCTCACAGAGATGAGAGGCATATCCCTTGTACCAACTCACAATGAAGCTTAAGAGAGTGAAAGAGGTTTTAGAGAGAGAGAGGGAGCTCGTGCAAAGGTGCCTTGCCCTCCCAAAACCATTCCTCATTTACAGCAACAAAGAAAAAATAGGAGAGATACATGTAGAGAGAGGATGGCCAAGTGTTGCCTCTCACTGGCTACTTGTTCCACTCTTCACGTGACTCTTTATTTTTCTCTACACTTTTAAAATAAATTTTAAGTGGGGTAGAAGAAAGAAAAAGAAAATAAAATTGGGCCTTAATTTTGCAAATATTTGGAAACACATTTTCTCTAACACACACACACACACACAATAGTGTGTGGTTTGCATAAGGTTGCAACCTTAAACAATCAAAGTAAGGCGCTTCTCCAAATTTTGTCTAAAGATTTTCGTATTAAAAATTCTTAGGGTGGCCTAAATATTTATTTTCATCTCTAACTATAAAATTTTGATATTAAAAAATGGTTCAAATCAAATAGATCTGTAAATACTTGAAAATCTTAAAATGGATGGTCAAGTTAATGTGTTGCAAAATGTATTATTTTTTAGACTCAAAATCTTTTCTTTTTTCATTTTTGCAGATCTCAATGTTGAGATGATTCATTAGAGGATTTTTCAAACACTAACACAACCTTTTTTAATGGATTTTTGAGATGCACCTTATTTCTACAATTTAAGCTTGCAACTTTATATAAACGTTTTCCATTTATATATAGAAAAGTCTTAAAAACGCTTATGAGCGAATTTGAATAGTTTTTCGCCCCGCAACGGCTCTCGTTGCGGTTTTGCCTTAAAACTGCAACGGACATGCTATGTCCGTGGCGGAATGCCTTGTTTTTTGGGTGAAAAAGAGCTGCAGCGTACATGCTATGTTCGTGGCTGTCTTTTAATCCACATCGTCCGAAAAAATCGGACGGCGCCAAGCCTATGGGCGAAAATACTGTTCATTTCGCCCATAGACGTTGCGAAGTCTCTTCTTTTATATATATATATATATATATATATATTTGTTGAAGCTTTATTCTTAAAGATACACTCGAGGACTTCCGTAGATTCGGTGGAAGAGCTGAGCTGCTTCGCTTTTTGGGCCAAATCAAGGAATTCTCCCCGTGGATTTGAAAACATTGGTTGGTAGAATGCGTCTATTTATGCGTATTTCTTTCCATGATTGGATGATAATTTATTCAATTTTCGAAGCTCGAAGGTCATTCCAATACATTCCTCTATGTATCTAAGTTATTTTGAATATTTGTGTTTTCTTTTGTAATTTACGTGGTTTATCTTCATCGTGATGCAGCTAACGGTACACCGAACTCCACGTCTCACTATCAAACTACTCATTTTCATGCATTATCAGGATTTTTTGCTGTACATAAGACATTGAGTTCAGATTCAAAAGCTAACTTTACTGAGCTTTTGGCAAGAGGCAAGCAATTATGCTTAAGCTCATGGGATGATATCCGGAAAAAATTGTCTCATCAAAAGAATGTTGATCAGTATTGCTTTCGATTACCTTATGTGATCTCACTTCTCAAGGATGAGTTGTGTTTGGAAGATGGACAAATAAGTTTTGGGCCAGCAGAGGTTTCATGGACCCTGGGTGCTGCCTTAGTTGGAGATGAATTATTATGGGCAATTAGAAATAATAAATTTGCTGCTTTTGGAATAGCAAACTTTGGAAATTTGCAGGTTATCTCTTCAGCCATTTTTGCGGTTATGGGATTGTCAAGTCTAATATTTATTGTCCATGGGCAGATTAAGTGTGTCACTGGATTTTTGCAGCATTTCTTTAAGCCCTCAGTTGGGAAAAATATGCGTGGTAAAGATGCAATTTTAGAGTTATTGCCATTGTTTAGCTATAACAAATTGCAGGTGTAAATTAGAGATTTCTTCAGCCAGGTGAGCTGATGAGAAACTTTCATTTAGTTGTTTTTTTTTTCGTTTTTTTTTAGAAGTCCAGTACTTTTATTATTTTATTCGTCTATTCAATTTTATAAGTTATGATTATTTACATGATATAAAATATTTATGATTGTTTTCTATATGCCTGTCTTTCTTGGTAACTGAAAATATTAAACAATTTCTGGATACTTAGTTCCATGAATTGAGACACCATTGATTTCTATAGATGATTGAATTTTTATTAACAGTTCACAAATTACATCATCTATTCCTATGGAATTTTAGTGTTTATTGTGTGCTGAACGTGAGATGTATCCCCTTGAAAGAAATTTTATGCTAATTTCAAGTATTCCGAAATCTCGGGCTGTTCGCGTAGTGTAGCCTTTTAGTCATGTTTGAATTTAAGGCATGCTTCCATGACCCAAATTTGAGAAAACCCAAGTTGAAATTGTAAATCTTACTAATATTACAAATGCAAAATTAAGTGAAATGTTTTTCAAACAGATTTTTGAGTCATTAATGTATTTCTTTGGAAGGTACCAAAACTCAAATTGCCTTCAAAGCTAGGTCATTCTAGTTTTGTTATAAACAATAAGTTCTCCTAATAAGATGAAAAGATTGGCATGTTTTCCTGTTTCCAAAGGTGGAATTGCTGCCAAAGCTATATTTCTGGGTGACAGCTTGAAACTAACTACTCTTCAGGGGGCTTTTTTCTCGGAGTAAGCCCCTAGCATTAAGCAAAAGGCATTTCAAAGCTATTGTAGTCTAACCATTGGTTGATGATCCTAGCATAGTCTTGACATATATCCAACCAGTTTTTGAAAAATTAACATGTTTGTTTCTAGGAGAAATTAATTTACGGAGGTTTCTTGAACTGAGAATATTGAAGTGCATTGAAAGAGTTGTTTGACTCAAATGCTTGGGACAGTCCAAGGGTTGTTAGGTTTTCATAAAAATGGGACACATCATCATCATGGGGACAAATGAAAGGTTTTATTCTATTATGAATCTGCTCAATGGAGGGGTAGAATGCAATCAATATATGGGGATTTACCCTCCTTTGCCCCTCCCTAAATATATGCTCCTAGATTCTTTAATGCTCCATGCCTCCCTTGTTCTCTGCCTGCCTTTGTTGTCTTCCTCTTTCCTTATTTTTCTTTCCTTTTCTAATATTGATATTTGTTAATTTGCAAAAAGTTCAACAACATGCAAGGTAGCATGCCATGTACGGGCAGTACAATTCTTAGGGATAGGGATGTAACCATCTGTAATTAGCCACTAACCAAAAATCGACAATCTCACTGGCTTCTGTAAGGATATGATGTGAAGACACTTTTAACTATTGTCTAACATCAACTAGCTCCTTTGTATACATCTGCTATCCTCGAGGCATAACTAACTTACTAATAGGGGTCTCAACAACTGTGCAAAGAACGCCCTCCTCACTCTGGTTAGAAGGACTTTACAACATTTAAAAAAAAAATAATCTTAAATATCATAAATTTAAAAGTTCCAAGTTGTACATATGCTTTCTTTTTTTAAGTTTTGAAAATACACCTGAAGACTTCCCCCAAATCTTCTGAAGCACCGATGTGCTACCCTTTTCTGTCCAAAACAAAGAGTGGTCAGGAGGAATCTGATAAGATTAGGTTAGATTCCCCATGAGCTACCAAAGCCTTCAGCAGTAGGCTTTTGTCATTTCAATAATTGCATCCTGAGCTCACGACCGTGGTATGACCACCAAATATTTTAACTTTAGTGTCCTTTTTGGTTATTTACGCCACGAAGATGTGTTTATAATTAGAATCATAGCATTCCATCAAGAGACTGTTCCTCGTTCACAAAGCAGTTCATCCACACCAATGCTGCATAGGTCTTTCTATGATGGGAGCTGTATTAATGATTTTAGGCATTCATGGCTAGAATTTTTTGAAAAATTCAGCTATTTCACTACCCATGAATTTCTTATGAGTAAAATGCCTGATGAATGTCGGCCTAAGTGGGTAGTCATTGGCCATGTCGCCAAGAAACTAGCGAATTAATATTTTACCCATGTTAGATACTCACAGTGAATGAGGAGACTCTCAATGTTCTTACTTTCTTTTCTTGGCAAAGGACATGAAATAATCTCCCGAGTGAAAAAAAGATATAGGGACTTTTGGCCTCGTTGAGGGTATGGTCATTGATAGAATATAATGGCAAACCAGAATTCATATAGCTGATCCCAAATAGTTGAGAAAAAGCCCTGATGGTGGTGATGACGACGACGACGACATGAGACAGTCTCTTGAGCCTCTGTACACAACACAACAGGTCCTGTAGTCCTAAAGGGGGGTTTTCGTACACTAAAAAGCATGAGGGGTTTGGAATGCCCTGCACAAGGCATTCTAGAAAAGTTACCAAGCCACTCCCCATATGGCACAGGAGAAACATGGACATTGGAGATTCACTGTAACTGCATGAATGTCTTGGTGGGCCCCACTAAGGTCTATCTTCAGTATCATGGCCAGGAGTGAACGGTGAATGGCATGGGTGCGTTTGGAGTACTCCATGCGTTTATTGATTTTGGGTTTACTTACCATTTTTATCTCACTTTAAACATGAATACATAATATTGCTCTTCTAAAACGGAAAGCGCATGGAAAATTCTTGGAGTTTCCTAGATTTGTAGAGAGAAGACAATGGAGTTTGTTGGACATATTGCTGATCTCACGGACATGAATGTCCCTTTTCAAGACATCTTCGTAGGTGTTAACATGATGGCAAGTTTTGGCTGGGACCCAAACACCTGCGTGTGCCCGCACACGTATAGAGAGAGTTATCAATTACTGCTCGTATATGCATGTGGAAATGTATTCAATGAGCACATGATCCTGGCTGTCAAATGTCAACAAGGAGCACAGCTCAGTTGTGCCGTTTGCTGCTTAAGATCTCAATTTTTTTGACAAACTTTTGTGTGGAGGAAGTACACACTACAGCTGCCACCTATTGATATTTGATGGCTCGGATGGCACGGAGTATCGTAAGAACCTTCACATGCAGTCATTGTATATGAACCTTATATATGTACGATTGTGTTGCTGCTCAAACCTCTGGTCCAAAATTGAAAGGTTTTAAGGCAATGAAAAAAATCTTGAAAAATTTTTAATACCAAGTGCTTCGTGGCTATATGAGGCAGGTGCATCAGATATTTGAATGGCAGAAACTCGTTCTTTTCTTTCTTGTGAGCGGCAGATCTGTCATCATAAATCTCTGTGTTTGAAGCAATGGACAAGGTAGGGCAAAGTAATAAATATTTTGCAAAAGAATACAGTACCACCGGCTTATACTTCGATTCTTATAAACAGGGACCCTGAATCGTTTGATGTTAACAAGGGACGGTTGGTGAGTGTCTGCTCAAAGTCCATAGCAATGTTTGAAAATTCGGCCGCCCGACCACCTAGGCGAAAGAATTTTAAAAACGCCTAGGCGCAATTTTGGCGGGGTCATTATGCACCATACTTCTGGGCACCTGCCTAGGCGGTCAAGGCGCCGCCTAGGTACTATTGTCTTGGTGCCCGCCTAGGTGCCACCCTGTGACAACTTGCGAGCGGGCGGAAAAAAAAAAACCCCTCGGTGAGGATAAAAAATTTAATTTTTTACCTCTAAAAAGGGGAAAAAAGGGTTTTAGGGGATATTCTAAACCCCTAATAGCAAATCCGTGGCCTTTAGGATGAGAAATCCCCTCCTCCTTTTCCCAAAAAAAAAGCCACTCTTTTGTGATTTATCGAAAGATCAATAAATTTTTTATTTTTTTAATTTCTTTCCAAAATGAAGGCAATAGTTTGTGGGTGGATTTGGAACTTCTAGTAGTTGATTTTGAGAACTTTTGGCGATCCAATAGACAAAGTTTACAACGACATCGATTTGATTTTGATATTTTTAAAATATTATCATATTTGAAAGAGGGTTTCGATTTTATTTTGCTACAACATATTATGTTATGAATCATGTTTTTCTTTTTACTTTTTTTTTTTTTTTCCTTTTACAATATATTTTTTTGCATGTTTGTAGTTAAAAGATTGATTTTTTTGGTGATTAATTGAAATTTTTTCTCACTTGGACAAAGTTTTTTTCTGGGGCGGGGGGTTGATTTTGGTGAAAGCACCCTGTCTTTGGGCATCTATCTGCCGGACTGCCTAGGCGGCCATGCACCCAAACCGCCTAGGCGCCCATGCACCCAAACCGCCTAGGCGCCCGAATCTGTATAGATAAGTTTACGACCAAAGCGAGTGGATGAACAATGTCCCCCAACCTTATTTTGTTGAGATTGAAGGTTCAATAACCCTGTATATTCATATCAGATATAAATTACAGAGTTTACTGCCCCTTAAATTTTTTTGTAGAGAGCATGTCATGAAGCGAGAAGAGTCACGACAAAAAGTGGGTTTTAGGTGCTACTTAGACATTTTTTTATAGAGCTTGCAATTATTATTTTAATTTTTAATGAAATAAAGTTTGTAATTCCTTATGCACCTGCTACAAATAGGGAGGTGGTCCAAGCATTCCTTATATAAAAAGGGATTGTATTTTTTTGTACAAAAAAGGTAACAATCACTTTTAACAATCAGAAAAATCTAATAAAAATCTAATAAAGGGAAGTGTTTCATAACATATTCGAAAAATTCTATTTTGGACTTTATGCTTACACAATGACTTACCGATTTAAAATTTAGCGATCAGCAATGATTGCGACCTCTTTATATCAGTAGTAACGGTCTCATTATATACATATCTTTATATAAATTTCCCTTCTAAAATTAGGAAAGGACAAGCACTCTATAGACTCTGCACAAGGGGTTAGGGAGCATTCTAGAGAATTTTTTTATTCTCTATTTTTTAATGTGAGCACACACTGTATCATCCATAAACAAATCACACAAGAAAACTGACAAGGAGAAGAATAAGGGGAATATTTTTCTTATTGTAATTATCGATCAAATATAACGTCCTCTCCGTACGTCAAAAAGGTGACCGGCTAGGAATCCATTTCACTGTGAATAAATAAAACATGTGTCCCTCTCATATAAGAAACAAGGTTAGGATATTTTGAAGGAAATAGTTAGTATAAGATTGACACCTTAAAATATATAATTAGTATAGAATTAAGGTGTATCTCCAAAATCCTTCGAAAAAGGTTGTTTTGATGTAGAAAAAAAATCAAATTAATCATTTCGCCATCGAGATGTATAGATGAGGAGGAAAAAAAAGATTTTTCAAGTTCTAAAAATAGTACGTCTTACAATACATTATTTAAACCGTCCATTTTCAAAATTTTAATGTACTTTTAGATATGTTTGATTTGAACTATTTTTGAAATTTCAAATTGAATAATTAAAGATAAAAATAGATCCTTGCACCATCCTAAGAATTTTCGACCTCAAAATTGTATGTTATGACAAAATTTGGAGCTGCACTCGATTGTTTAAGGTTGCAACTTTATGCAAACCACACCATTTGTAAAAATTTTCTACAAAAATTATTTTTTTCTACAATATAGGGTTGCAACCTTATATAAACTTTTTCTTTTTTAAATCCTTATATTTATATGGTGATAAAAATCGAAATGGTGTTATTATTTTGTAAGGAAAATTTCCACATTTATCTCTTTATAAAGCTGAGGTGGCAATGTATTAACCCGTTACCGTTACATTGCTCTAGGAAAAGAAAAGAAAAGGATAAAAATAAGGGGTACATTTGTCATCCAACATTTACCAATAGTTTCCTATGGGGCCGTTTGCTACCAGAAAATACAAGTACTGGCTGGCTGGGGATATGACACTGTGCACTCAAATATAATGTTTCAACCCAAGGGATTTCATGCTCCCAAGGAAGCATACTGTTCATTTACTCCTTCAGGAAAACCCAAATTTAGTAGGATTTTTATGACCCCAAGTTTTGGGGATATAACCCCTTCGACCCTTATGCTTATATATATAAAAAAAATTCCAAATTGCCTAATATGTAGGTTTGGAAAAATAATACTTCAAGATTGAATAAAAATTGTCCAATTTTCTTGAGGTACATGTCAGAAAATCCAAAATCATTCTTTTTAGATATAATCATCTAGTGATTTTAAGGTGGTTCCCAAAATTTTGGATTAAAAAACTCTTCCTAAATTAGTTTCTACCTAATGAAGTACGTGTATAGTGTGAAAACCTATATTTCCGTATATTTGGGTCTGAAGCCCCCAATGGAATATGTATTTCAGCGCTTATAGAAGATGTAAGCAAGAGCTTCAATTTATAGGGTTACAAACTGTATACTACTAAATAAAATAACATTTACAATGAATCACCTTCATAATATGGATACACACAAAAGAAAGAAAATTATTGTACCAAAAAATAAATTCACATTTCTATAATTTCCACATATAATATGCTCCGGCAGAAACATAACATATGTGCCTATTTTTTAGTTAAGGGGATTGGGTGATGTAGAATAGGAAAAGCATTGTCCGCACGTCATGTGCACAAGCACCCTTTCAATGGTTGAGATTTCACAAGGCCATATCCGTTGACGAAAAATTTATGTCACATTTTATTTTTTATTTTTATTTAAATAATATACTTATATGAATATTAGGTATGGGTTTATTTTTTACAAAGAATTAATATTAAAAAATATTTCAAATAGAAAAATGACAAAAATACTCGTAAGTTTATTTTGATTAATATTTGTATTCATAATATTTTTTATTATTATTTTTATTCAATAAAAATGAAGCTAAAGCCCAAATTTTATATCAATTTTAAACAAAATAAAAATAAAAATAATATTTATTTTTAGCCCTTAAATGAGGCTGATTTAGTTTGAACTAGTAAAATATGCTTGTGCATCTTCTATCCCCCTTTTGATTGAAATTACCGAAATCCTTGAGAGCGAGATCTTGTGGGGAACATATTATTCCTTATAAACACATTAATTGTAGTCAGCATGGAAAAGGTGTCTTGATTTATATCTCAAAAATTACACAGCTATCTTGTTTGGTAATCGATAGGTTTTGTCGGTGAACCGAGCAATTCTTTCAATGGAATTGATGATTAAATTTTATGTTTTCTTAGTTTTGTTTATTTGATTTGATTTGATTTTTTATCCCGGAGAATAAATCAATACAGTAGAGGGCCGATCCAAATGCCCAAGCTGGGTTTGAAATCCTGCTTATAATTATGGCACGTATCCATGTAAGGAGCAAACTGGAACATCATACTAATATGGACACGCATATAAGGAGACCATTCACATTTAGTATAAGTAGGTCGCAAATACTCTTGTCCATTTGATTTCAAATCGGGTGGTTATAAGTGCGTTGTTGAGGGTGACTCCCTTAATATCAATAATTGGTGTAAGAAGATTTAGAAACCCCAATGGCATTTAAGGTCTATGTGGTTACATGTAATGGATGAATCTTATGGATTAGAATTAAATTTTGACATGTCTATAGGGAGGTGAATGATATGGCTGATTCTTTGCCATAGGTGTTAGCGCTTCTGAGTTCGTAATTAACAATTTGTTGCCCATATGATTGTATTTCGAAGTTACCTTATTCATGAAAGCTTATAACCTTGTCAAAAGAAGAAGAAGAAGAGTGTGTTATTGACTAGACTCATAGTTAAAAAAAAAAAATTGCAAACTTCATAACACACCAACCAATTTAGCATCCAATGGCTAAGAATATTTGTAACTTCTTTGCAACAAAAATAAATTATCTTATAGTATATAATCCCTACTAATATATCATTTGTGAGAGAAAGAGTTTGTACACATTTATCAGCCAAAAATCGATATAAAATGGCAAATTGGTAATCATTACGATCTTCCCATTTCTTGAATTTGAGCCTACCTCAAAAATTTAACTAGAAGGTGTTGTTTTGATGCCCAAATATTCTTAAATTGATCATCTCGACATTAAGATGTATGGACATGATAAAAAAAATGGATTTCAGGTTTTGAAAATAGTATATTTTGTAATGTATTTTTAAACCGTTAATTTTTAAGATTTTTAAGTTTTTATAGATCTATCGATCTACAGTATTTTTAAAAATTTAAAATTTATAAATAAAAATAAAAATATATTTTAAAGTTATCACAAATATTTTCATCTTTAAAATCATATTTCTCTATACTATTTGAAGGTAGTCTCTAATTGGTTTGCTTAGAGCGTACGCTCTATACAAAACCGCACCGGACTTAATAAGGGGAGAGAGAATGTTAAGAGAGAATATCTAAGAATCTTCAGAATATTGTTGAAGATCTAACATAAATGGGGTCCATTAATTATATAATAGTTAAAGAGTGTAAAACTTTTAGCTCTCCCTGAGCTCATCAGTTATTTTCTTAATTCTATAGAGAGAGAGAGTTGGGTCGGTAAAATTAAAGAAAAAAAAAAAAGGGTGAGCTCATTAATTATTTTATTAATTGAAGGCAGCGCATATGGAGGAAGTGCCACACTTTTGAGTGGAGATTCTTGGTATAAAAAATAAATGGGATTCTAAAGTTGACTTTGAATATTCATTACATCCATCCCCCCTTTTCAAACTAATGGATGTGTCTTTGGTTGGAGCGCCTACTTTCAAACTCATTTATTTGACAAGAGAAAACCACTCCTACATCTTATATAACTATTAAAATTATTAATTGTTTAATTTTTAAAATATTATATACATGTAATTTTTTTAGATTTTTATTTTTTAAAAAAAGTTTTTGTCTTTGTTTTGAATGTTGAAAATCTAAAATTACTACTTTTAGATTTTTCAATATCCAAAATCACAAGGTTATATAATTTTGGATTCCTAAATTCAGAAATCACGAGGCCTCCTCGATACCTTGCGACTTCGAACAGGTCCGAAGGCGGAAGAAATACAGAGTCATAAAGTAACTTTATAGCTTTAAATTTTCAATATCCAAAATAAAAAAAAATAGGAATAAAAAAAATTAAGACTAAAGAAGAGATGCACATGTAATATTTAAAAATTAATTTTTTTACTAAATACAATAATTCTATAAGATATACAGGTCATTATCTCTTTTCACAATTCAAATATCGAAAACAAAATTATTAAATTCTTTAACTAGTACCACACACGCAACCCAAACCCTAATAATTGCATCGATCCGAAAAGGTCAATGAAGCGTTTCCCCTTCCTTTGGAAATGTGCAATGACAACGAAAACTGAAGAATCCAAACACCCAACTTGCTACCCCTCTCTTTCTTGAAGTCAAGCCTTTCATTTTCCTTCGGTACCAAACAAGGTAAAACAAAATTAAAAAAATTCTTGTCAAAAAAACAAGGTTAAAAAATCCGTTATAACACCATGCTAGGTATTGTCTTTGGCCGTTATAAAAAACCTCTTCCATAGAAACAAGAAAAACAGACCGATAGTTTGTTTAATGTAACATTTTAGATGGGATATATTTCTAAAACATTTGATATAACGACATCAGATGGCTGCAGTAGGTGTTATCTCTTCTACTTCTCAAGCACTGATTCAACTCTGAGAAAATAATGGCATGTGGTATATGACAAACTATTTATTTAAAAAATAGTAATTTACAGACATATCCTCCTAAAGTTCCTTTATTCAAGAAATCATCAATTTTTAGGTTATTACATTCATGCCCATTTTTTATCCCTACTACGAATTTGAATATCCCAAGTTTAACGTTTGTAAATAAAACATTTGAACATCTTCTTAGGTGGTTAAAAGCATTAAAAATACTTTGATCTTGAAAATCTAAAGTTATTAAAACTTCGGATCATAAAATTCCAAAGTTTTATATGCTTACAACAAGTCTTCAAGCTTGTCGACGGCCATAGAGAACTTCCATAAAGAATTTTGAATTTTGAGAATACAAAGTAAAGCTATTAAAGGAAAAAAAAAAAACATAAACATGTGTATGAACGTAATATTCAAGTTTTTGGGAAGGTTTTTTTAACGAGTAATGATCTTATGAGACCCTCCCATATCCATATGAGTAGGACCTCAAATGCTCACTATCAAATTTAGCACAGATCTCTAAAAAAGTCAAGTCCCCCACTCATGTAATAATTTTTCTAAAGATCTGTTTCAAATTTGATGGTAATCTTTTGAGGTCCTACTCACATGGGTGTGGTAGAGTCTCATAATGTCATTTATCTTTTTCAACAAAAATAATTTAAAGCGATATAAGCGTTAAATATTTTTTCCTTAATTACTCTAAAAATGGTAAACATAACGGGCATTCTTAGAGATAACGGCGTTTTGTTTCGACTTTGATCCATTTTTCTGATGGCCATTACATTGTTATATATTAGCAATTATATTTAAAGGAACGCTGATGATTTATTCATAACACATGAGTTGCAAGATGTGCCCCTTAAATTACGTAGCAGGCAGATCGTGCTCCGTTATAACGGCCGTTATAAAACATGGAAATATTTTGAAGTACCCGATCCAACTTGTTTCCTCGCCCTAATAAGTTCTCTTTAACTGCCCAAAAAACGTAGAACACACCATACACTTACTCCTTTGAGTTTCTGGAAAGGAATTTTTTATTTATTTTAAATTTATGATCCACCTAAAAATCACCATATGTATTTTTTTTAAAAAAATTGAGTTAGTAAACACTAAGCTTTTACTATCAAAAAATTCTCCTTATTCCATCTTGAGACATCATATTTTTAGGGACATAGATACTTCGTTTTTGGGAAATTTATAAAACGTCTTGTTTTATTTCAAATTTAAAAATAATCTCATATTTTATGCTCAAACCCTACTTTTTGAGAGCATGAAGTGTATGTTAGTTTTGTTTTCTTTTTTATATATCAGATTAAGCTCACATTTGTTATACTTTCACCAACACATACCTATGAAAAATAATTAAATGACATTCAGAGACATTTTGATAATTTTATTTATTTTAATTATTTTTAAATTTTTATATAGGTATATGATAGTGATAAATTTGAACAGATCAAAATTTTTAATTTAATTTAATATATAGCATAAGATAAAATTAAAATACTTTATATACTTTAAAAAAATGGGACTTAAGTGTAAAATATGAAATATATGAAATTATTTTTAAATTTTGAAAATAAAATAGATTTTTTTTTTAGAGGTCGGTTTCTAGGTCAAAAACTAGGGTCCTAAAAACTTTTACCTGAGGGAGAATATGATGGTATGCTCCTACAGGAGCATGAAATCATTTCACAACTTCAAAAGGACCTCCAACTTTTTTTTTTTTCCCTTAATTTTAAATTTCAAAATAGCCCCCAACTTCCATTAAATTTTTTGAATATTAAATTTTTTTAATCCCTTATCCATTTCCCAAAAGTCCAAACAATAATGACCCCCAAAAACCCTAACATTTTATATCATATTTTACCAGCTAAAACCTACACACCCGAAGTGTAACTCTGACCCCTCCACTTGGTCAAGTGGAAAATGTGAAATAAGCTCATTTTTCGACTAAAACAACAGTTTTCTGTGGACGTAAATGCTAAAATAATAGTTTTATTTAATGATATTTACTTACGGACTTGTGTGAAAGCATAAGGTGACAAAACCACCCCAGTTCCAACAGGCCTTTTTAAGCCCCACTTTGTTTGATTCTTCCATGGTGGATTTTCCAAAGCTTTCTCTACTTCCTCGTTACAGTCTTTTGCTTCTTGTTCTTTTTTCCTTTTTCTCCACTTTCCATAAAACTTATGAAAGTTATTTCATATATATTCCTTGTCATTTATACTTGACCGTTCTTTAACTCCTCTTGCTGGTGCATGCTCAACAGTTACACATAAAGCTGACAGGAGAGCAATTGCTTAGATTTACTCTTCTCTCTCTCTCTATATATATAGATATATATAATGTTTGCTCATTCTGATCAGGCTGCTGATGCCTAGGCATTCAAGCTGATAACAGAGTCTCAAAACAGAGTGCACCATTACCATGTTTGTTTATAGCATTTTGTGGGAGTTCTTCATGGTTGCTCCCTGATTAGTGATGCTCATGGTTTCCTCTCGCAGCTAATTGAGTATTGTACTAACCAAAACAATTGGTAGCTGTTTCTTTCCACACCTTCCCTTCAAATAGTTGAGACCTTTCTCTTTCTTCTCTGATTTAGGACACAAACTAGTAGACCAGAATCCATTGAGCAGTTGAAGATCAAATACCAAAACTAAGCCAACTTCTAATTTATAGGAGGAAACAAAAACTTGCTCTTTCTTATATACACCTAACAATTGAGCTCTTCTCTTTGTTATCTAGGAACCCAGTAGCCAAGAGAAAACCAAGAGCCAATTTAGAAAATCATCTCTCCTCATTAGAAAAAATACTGACTCATCAAATTTTCATGGTTCATGGACAAGTAACCAAGATCTTTCCTTCTTTGTAGGTGAAGCACAAATCGGTTTGGTTCAAGGCCATAGCTCAACTGGAACGCAGGTCACTGCAACCTTGTCACTGTGGGTTTGAAACCAACTTAGGAATTAAAGGAGTAAGTCCATTCAGGAGAATTTCCTTTCTGGCACTTGTAAAAGGAGCCTCAAAACCTCCATTACAAGGACATGGAAAACGAAACAGTCGGACAGCTCGGCACATCTGTGCATGGCCTCACAGGAAAAGAGCCGGTCTATGCCATGTCGTCACCAAACCAGAGCTCCCCTCCTTCACCTTTCTCTCTCCCTGTTGACTCCGAACACAAGGCCAAGGTCTTCAAACTCTTCTCTGTCTCTCAACCCCATATGCGCTCCTTCCACCTCTCCTGGTTCTCCTTCTTCTCTTGTTTTATCTCCACCTTTGCCGCCCCTCCTCTGATCCCTATAATTCGCGACAATCTGGGGCTAACCAAACATGACATAGGCAATGCAAGTATTGCCTCAGTGTCAGGTGCCATCTTCTCTAGGATAGCAATGGGAGCCATCTGTGACCTGGTTGGCCCGCGCTACGGGTGCGCTTGCCTAACCATGTTAACTGCTCCTGCTGTTTTTTTCATGTCAATTGTGACAAGCGCCCATGGCTTCATTATCGTTCGCTTCTTCATCGGCTTCTCTCTTGCCACCTTTGTATCCTGTCAGTTTTGGATGAGCTCAATGTTTACAACTAGAATTGTGGGCCTTGCTAATGGCTTAGCAGGTGGTTGGGGTAACCTTGGTGGTGGAGCTACTCAATTAATCATGCCTTTGGTCTATGATCTTATTCACAAAGGCATCGGAGCCACCCCGTTCACCGCCTGGCGCTTGGCCTTCTTTGTGCCTGGAACAATTCAAACCTTGATGGGCCTAAGTGTCCTGCTACTTGGCCAAGATCTCCCTGATGGGAACTATGCTGCCTTAAAGAAGAAGGGTGACAAAGTCAAGGATGACTTCTCTAAGGTGTTCTATCATGCAGTTACAAACTATAGGGCCTGGATCTTGGCATTGACCTATGGCTATTGCTTTGGGGTGGAGCTCACAGTAGACAACATAGTTGCAGAGTATTTCTATGACAGGTTTGATTTGCAGCTTCACACTGCGGGGATCATTGCAGCCACGTTTGGGCTCGCGAATATCGTGTCGAGGCCATTTGGTGGGGTTCTATCAGATATGTTAGCAAAGAGGTATGGGATGAGAGGGAGGCTTTGGGGTCTGTGGGCGGTTCAGACTATTGGAGGGCTGCTATGTGTTTTGTTGGGGAGGGTGAGTTCTTTGGGTTCATCTATCACGGTCATGGTTGTATTCTCTTTTTTTGTTCAAGCCGCCTGTGGATTGACTTTCGGAATTGTTCCTTTCATATCAAGAAGGTATGTTGTTCTGATTCTGTTCCTAAGTTATTCTCTGTTTATCACTGTCCTGATTGGTTCTTCACTGGCTTTTGTTCATATGGAGGTGTTGTGTTCATCTCGATCTATTGTTTAATTATTATTGTTGGGGTTATTGGTTTCTTGCCATTACAATTATGCAGAAAATGGGTTCTTCAGATTTTGTGTTCTTTTCACTTGTTCTTAAAAAAAAAAAAAGGAAATTTTTATTTGTGAGTTATTTTCTTGCTCAACCCAAAAAGGAAAAGCAGTTGTCTGTTTTAGTGATTTAAAGCCTGGGTATTTCTGATCCGGATCGCCGAATTGCCGATCAGGATGGGAATTGGTTTTACCAAGCTGGTTTCAGGGGAGTATGGGTCTGGCCTGGGTGTCCCCTAAAATCTATATATTTCTCTGTCTAAGCTTTGTCTAATGTTTTCTTATGTCCTCTTAAATCGCCACCACATAAAACCCTATTTTTTATTTATTTTAATAATTTTTGTGGGTGAACAACCCGATGCCCTGATCGGGGTTTAAAAGCCAGGTATGTTTTCTTTTTTCTTAATTTTATTTCTTCTTCTTTTCTTTCCCTTTGTTTTTTTTGTGGCAGTTACTGTCTCCCTGTCTTCATAGGGATGTCGAAATAAACCAAGTAAATAAATTCTTTCATTTTCTCAACTGTTTCTGAATTTACTGTTTTATTTTCTGGTTATGGTCCTTTTCCTGGTATCCCTCATATGAGTACATGGCCCTTCACATTTTGAAATGAATTTTAATCAACCCAAAAAAGAAAATACCACTGCCTTCATTTTCAAGGGGATCTCCAACTCAATTCTCTGGTTTTAGTTCAAGCGAGAAGGTCCTACCTGATTGTAGAATGACTGGAAAGAATTTTACTTAATGGATGTCTATGTACTTCATAAAATGGGGAAATTGTCTGTTTGTTTCAACTTTCAAGGGAAGATGAGGTAGGTTTCTGTGAAATGAAGCGCTTTCACAAAGAAATCAACCACAAGGAACGGATTACAAAATCGCATTTATTCAACACTAATCATACCATAAGTAGAATAAGTTCTTAACATCTCATAAGCTACAAAGCATACAAACATGAGTGCAATACCCCTTACAACAGAGTCAATAAGATACATCATACAAAAAAAACGTCTGTAAGAAGATACTTAGATTTTATGATTTTGCAGGTCATTAGGAATAATCTCCGGGATGACAGGAGGAGGTGGTAATGTTGGGGCAGTTCTAACAACCCTAATATTCTTCACAAATTCATCCTACTCGAAAGAGAGAGGGATTACTCTGATGGGGGTGATGATTCTTGCATGTACACTGCCAATCTGGTTGATTTACTTCCCACAGTGGGGAGGCATGGCACGCAGCCCATCCCCGAAAGAAGGTGCCACAGAGGAAGGTTACTACATGGGTGAGTGGAATAGCAAAGAGAAAGAGAAGGGGTATCATGAAGCAAGTTTGAAGTTTGCAGATAACAGCAAGAGTGAAAGAGGTAAGAGAGTGGACTCGGCCCCCACGCCTCCAACGGATAGAACGCCTGTTCATGTTTAGGCTTTGAGACAATTCTACAAATGTTGTCTTGCTTCTTTTTTTTTCTTGGATTTTTACAAATGTTGTCTTAGTTCTTGATTTACGTTATATGGATTTTCTATTCTTGAATCTTTGCTTGCTGAAATTTGTGTAAACTGAAAATAAAGCGTACAGATTATGTGCAGAAAAGGCTCAAAGCTGAATTCTAAAGCTCAAATAAGTCGTACTTTCCATAGTGTTGAGGGTATATCAATGGGCCTCTTCTTTGTGAAATAAATGCTTGTTTTTGTGGATATCGTGGATCAATTTAATTCTTAGGCAATATTTTTTTTAACTTCATGAAACATATTGTCTCCATATTTTGGATGGATTGGGAGAAATCAACTCAGGAGCGGTGTCTTCTGTGTATGAAAGGAAGCAATCTCACCTCTCTCTCTCACTCGCTTTTTCTCTCTCTCTCACACACACCTACCCGCCACATCCCACATATACACCTCACACACATACACAACCCACATGTTGATGAGGACCAAGCGTTTTTTGGATCATCTTTTTTTTTTTTGAAATCAATTACTATGAATTTTATTCACCCATGAAGAATTACAATGAGGGTCAAAAAGAAAAGGATGTGACTACCAATAAATGTTTGTACACACCACCCGTTACTAAAGCATCAGCTTTTATATTAGCCTCCCTAAAACAATGAGAGCGCTTTTTGGAGCTTTTTGGATCATTTCATGCTTGGGATTGATCTTTATCTCTACAATATCTCGAATCTTCTTATATATGAAAGATTTACTCGTCACTAATACAGTCTCACCTGTCTTCTTTCTTAAATATCTTGTTTCACTTCGATAGTATTATAAATTGAGGATAAATATAGGGGAAGTGAAAGTATTTCCGCACTATAGGAAGTGGCTTGAACCATAAGGTCTAGGACTTGTAAATCGTAAGTTTTTGAGATCTACAGTTGTCGGATAGCTTTCCGGTCCTCGGTGACAAATATGCATGCAATGGGTAATAAATTACAATATTAACTATGAAATTACTTAAGCTTTGGGTCTAGATTTTGAACAAAGTATTGAATCCCCTACTTGCACTAGTTTACTACCCGAAACCAAAAGATAACAATACAAAAATATGGGATAAAGGAGGTCCAGATTAAACTTAAAATGTTGGGATTGTATACAATGAGACCATTTATCTTTGTTATAAATAATAATTAGTACTAGTTACTAGATGTCAAATTTGATAGCTTGAGGTATGTCACAAAGTTCGAGAATTTTTTTTTTTGAACTTTAAATCTAATAAATGATACACTCACAACTATTTGATTTGAAATCTGAAGGACAATAGTGATTGCGACCTTCTTGTATTAAACATTAAAAAATTTATACAATGAGACCATTTATTTTTTATTAAAAGAGGTTGCAATCATTATTGACTTTTGGATATGAAATTGAGTGATCGATGTGTCATTGATTAGGTACACAATCCAAAAGAAAATTTCTTGAAGGTTGTGACACACTTCAATCTATTGGATTTTATATGAAATGACCAAAAATAATTGTGACTTCCATATACAAAAAATAAATTATCTCATAGTATACAATCCCTAAAAGTATATGGCTGATTTATACAATTTTCATTAAATAATTTAGATCACATTCTAATGAAAACCTCATCCTTTTGGAATGGGCACGTATACTATTCTCCCAAAGGAGCATAGTATATTTCTACTTCCTTGGTCAAAAGGCTTGATTGGGATCTCACCATCTAAATATTGATGGCCTCTACTCAATCTCGAGACATTATTTTTTCAAATGCATAGATGGTACAATTTGATTTTTTTTTTTTAAATTGTTGAGATCAATTGAAGAGGTTATATCCCCAAATATTGGATTCCTAAAATTAATTATTGGTGAAGTTTTACCCTAGGGAGTAAATGCACATTCCACTCCTGAGGGAGTAGAATACCTTTTGGCTTTTGAAATTGCAGTAGACAAAGACCATTTAGTACAAACACTAAAAACAAATCAAACCACAAAGCAAAAACATAAAAGTTTTTCAGTGTAGTATTCACTATTCAGAGTTTCAGCATTACACAGTTTACTGGACGAGTAACTTCTCTTCCCTCAAAACTAAATGGATCATGTAGTAAATGAATATAATTCTAGAGTCATTTTGATCAGTTTTGTTCAATCATGTTATTTCCCAATTAAAATCTCAGATACAAGACTTTAGTTCTAGCTTTGTTCGGTATCGACAAACACAATCTAGCAATCACTTGTCCAAACCATAACATTAATAATAGTGATAGCAATATTCGTAATAATAAAGAAATGAATATTTATTTACCAGAGTCCCATGAATCCAGAGAAAGATACAACAGCATTGTGACAAACATACCAAGGGCTCAAAGGAGAGAGACAGAAATAGCAATAATTGAAAATTGAAAGAGAATAGAAAAATAGCAATAATTTAAAGCTGGGCCACCTTTGAAAAAATGTATAGAAGCCTCTTTTTCCCAATAAATCACCAAAAAAAAATATATATATAGAAAAAACCCAGTTTCTTCCCAGCCCAGCTAGAAGGGTAGGGGCATGTCTTCCCCACTGTATTGTTTCTCCTTGCCCAGCTAGAAACGGGTAGGGGCAGGTCTTCCCCACTGAATTACCTAAAAATAATAATTAAAGAAAAACCCATGGTTTCTTCACAACCCAGCTAGGCTTTCAAAAGCCAGGGGCTTTTCCTTCGTTTTTTCTAAAAGAGTCACATGTACGAGCCTACAGCTCACCTGCCCCCCCCCCCCCTCATGCACCACTTTTTTATATCATTTTTAATATTCAAAAGATAATAATTACCATACAGTAATAAATTGACCCATGTTAAAATAAACGACATTAAATAGAAATAAAATGACTAAAAAGTCCCAATTGGTCTATCAATTGAAAATATAACCCTATAATAACTGGAAAATCATCCCAAAAAATGTTTGCACTTCTTGATTTTACATCCTCTTAATATATGCAAGAATTAAGAGGAATCTGCTGCTGTTACATAAGATACTCGTCACGTTGTCCATTTGATGCATATTGTACGTCATCATTCTCCAAGGGTTGAGAAGAACTTGCCCTCGAGTTATAACCTTTATCTTCATCCATCTTTGGCTCATGATACTTCGACAAATCAACAACATTGAAGATATCGGAAGTCTCCATAAGCAAAAGGCAAAACGACATTGTAAGCATTGGCAAGATCACGTCTTATCTTGCCATCATTCAACTTATTGAATTTACCTGCTGGATGCCTTTCCTTGTACACCATCACCCAATCTCCATACTAACAAGACTTGAGATCAAGTTGTGCCATGTTACTGCACCCCCCATAGACATTAAATCAACCGCATTTGGGCTACATTGGGATATACCATACTTGTATTACATAAGCACAACATACTTGATCCTAAACACATCGGAGAATACTTTAACCCGAATTTTGAAGCGACTCAAGTTTAGTGATGTGCTACACCCGTGATTTCCTTCCGCTTGCACATAGTGATTAGATATAAGTTTTCCACTCAAAACAAAACAATAGCTGCAATTGAACTCCAACATCATGAATCATATAATCAAGCATTAGATGGGCACCTTCTACATTAAACTCACTGACTAAAAGCTCATAGGAAAATATCTCGAAACCCTTGGGGCACACATCACATGGTACCCCATGTACGAGACGTCAAGAGAACCAATGTCCTTATTTCCATCTTCCTCTCCTTGATCCTCAATGCCTTCACCTTGATGTTCTCTATAGATTATATCACCCCAAAATATCATCATCAAATATAGGAACCTCATCAAAGACGGAGCAAGATAACCATCGCCATCAATTGTTTCCTCGTCAACGATTGACCACCCATAAATCACACTGGCCATCAAGGATTTGGGGAAGAAAGTCCCTTCGCAACTCCTCGTCTTCTACTTAGGGTATAATCATGATGCGCCAGATCACCAAAGCTTCCCCGTGGTTATTAAATGTCACTTCAAGATCATCTCCTTCAGGTACCTCATTGTAAATAAGGTCTCCATCAAAATGATTGCTTGCTGTCCTCTTCGAAAATTTCCATAGAAAGGCTTACAAATTTTCTATTTGGGTGTAGAGAAAAGACGTGTCCGATTTTTAAACACTTAAAGCACTTAATAACATTGCTATTTGAGCGATTCAGGTGATTAGAACTGCCCCCAATACTCATAATATCTTGCTGTTTGAGGGAACCAGCCGGTTGTAAGGACTGTCTAGCCACCAAATTCCACTTTTTCTTCTAAAATCACTTCTATGGCCACTTGTATCACCCTAAGACTGCACCCCACCGCGATGATGGACGCTTTTACTGAGCTTCAACCTCAGCTACTAGGTTGTAAGCTTCTTCCAAGGTCCAATAATGTTGTAAACAAATGTACCTTGTAAACAAATGTACCTTATATAATTGTTCTTAGCCCACCCACAAGACGAGCTAGTGACTTTTTTTCTCTTTCAACCACATTCTTTGTGCCATCAGCTGATGAAATTCATCAATGTACTCATCCACACTTTTCACTTTTTTCTCTTTTATCAAGATTATTCATCTTATGATAACGGGACTGTAGATAATTTTCAATTAGGTATTTTTCCTTTAATTTCTTTTTCAATCTTTCAGGTATTAATTTTGGACTTTTTCATTATCTCCCTTCTAAGCCTAGATGTTTCCATCATGAGGCAATACATTTTAATTTTTATTTTTGGGAACTCCCTTATAATAAGAACTCATTTTTGTAGTATTCAACCAATTTGAACTCCTCGGTTGAAGCATACCATCAAAGTCAGAAATATCCACCTTCATGCTGAAAACCCTAGAATGATACCTTTCGTTAAAGGCTTTTATTGATATCCTCATCATGCAACTCCACATGCGAATTGCGACAATGAAAATGATTGTATTTGAAATTTTCTTGAACCGAAAGATCACCGTCTTCCCCATGATAAATACTCACAAACTGCCACATTAACTATTGAACTTGCCTTTGGGATCACAAAGTGGGTATGTGAAAACCTCCTTCCAGGGCCCCTCCTCGCTACCATAAATTTGCTGAAATCACATGCCCTAAGGCAGAAAATGAACAAAAACTCACTAAAATCAACAAAATATAAGTTGAATTTGGCAAAACTTAACCCAAAATCAGCAAACTCTACATATAGTTGTAGTTTCCGAGCCTTGCTGTTGAAGAAAACATAAACTCTGATATCAAATAGACGTAGGGAATTGAAAGAGTACAAAAAAACATTAATAATTCAAGCCAAACACAAGTAATAATTAAAAGAAAGGGTTTCTTTTGTAACCCAGCTAAGGTTTCAAAAGCCTGAGGCTTTTTCCTTGCCTTCTTCTAAAAGAAGCCCCCCCGCCCCCCCCCCCCTCGCCCTCCCCTCCTCCCCAACACACTTTTATATATTTTTTTAATGTTCAAAAGACAATAATTGTCCATATAATAAATTGCCCTAACTTAAATGATTTTTAAAATAAATAACACTAACCATACATAAAATAACTAAAAATTAAAAAATGATTGGCAGCTACCCTGAAATAACTACAAATTATCCCAAACAATGCTCACTATTTTTCTTTTTTTTGGTAGCCCTCCTAGGGTTCACATCCTCCAAATATACACAAGAATTACACTCGTCAGTCTGTCCACTTTGCACGTCACAACACAGAGACAACAATAGCGGCCAGGATACCAAAGTAAGACGAGCACCACATCCAATTCAGTACTTCCATATATAAACCGCAAAAAATTCCAAAACTTATGTGTACCGATTATAGCTGTCAATGATCATAAAGAACTATAATCAACATGCCAAACAAAATCAATTGTTGCATGCTAAATTATATTTCTCTAAACTAAAATTAATAGTTAGAAACAAATCAAATTATTCTCAATTTATTCGTTTCATGAACTTTACAGATACCAGACGCCATGGTGGCAATGTTCTACAAATACAGCATATACAGCAGATAGTTACCGAAATTTCATACACTGAGAAATCTGTCTTCTAGGCCAGAGTAGAGTACAATTTCATATACCATTTACAAACACAAAGCAAACATAAGAACTTAATGGGTGGATTTTCATAGGGTGATTGACCAGAAAATGACATTGGGCAAGCTATTCTGAAGTGCTAAATTGACTTTTCGGTTTCAGGTTCTAAATGTTTCACAACAGTCACAGGGCAAGATGCATTGTTGACGACATAATTGCTGACACTTCCCAGAAGAGCCCTGCAACAAAACACCGACTTTAACACAAGGATCTATGAAACACAAGCTCTTTTTCTTCTTCATTTTGATTACTTCCGCAATCTCAATTTTATTTGCTCTGAAACAGGGCAATCTAGCATAAATCTAAGGAATAGGGAAGAATACTGACCTTTTAAGTTTACCAAGTCCTCTGTTCCCTATAACAAGACTATGCAATGGGATATCCTCAACAGCCTCACAAATCTTTTCGCGAGCATCTCCCCAGTATATCTTTGATACAACTGTTATCTGCAATGGGTAATACTTTAATGTCAAAGGTGCCATAATCAGGATGCACATGGACATGCATACGAGGCCTTCACAGGCAAGCATGCATTGCAAGCTGCAAATACATATTAGCAAATCAATTAAATGTGCACAAAACACAAGCTGAACCTATATGTGTATATACAAACATGTACAATATGTGTATATACAAACATGTACATTCATGCATCACATGCAAAGATCTGAAATGCTGAAGACATTGATATTAGACGCATGCATTCATGCATATTAACACACATACAGGCATATTTACATTAAACACACAATGTGTGTGTGTGTGTGAGAGTGAGAGAGCGAGAGAGAGAGTACCCCCTTCTTTTGTCTAGCAATGCAATTAAGCAAATCCAAAGTTTCTATGTCAGGTTGCACACCATATTTCTTCATTATGTTTGGATCACTGAATTCACTCAGTGGAATAAAGGCTGCACAACAAAGAGAAAACTATTACCAAGAAACCATTCCCAAAAAGTTTAAAACTGAGAAAAATAAATATTTCAGTTAATTTCATTGGAATTAACATTTTTCTGTTTAAAAAGGGATCAAGGAACCTAATACATCAACAAAACATTCCATGACATGGTTATACCACAAAATTCTGTGCTTGAGAAATTTATGCCTTCATCAGAGGTTCGATACTATTAACCAGGAGTGCTACCCATAATTTCGTGGTAAATTATGTGAAACTTATGGATCTCTTTGGACTTTTTTTTCAATGCTTACATATAAGCTATCCATATGTTACATTGTATTTGAGGAAAGATATTCGTATAACCTAAGAATAAAAGAGCTGCACATTGCCAAAGCCATATTGTGTTTCCCTGCCACAAGACTACTTCTATTTATTTATTTCTTTCTGAATATTTCAAGACAATACAAGCAGAACTTCTAGACCTTTTGAGCTAAGAAGAAAATCTGGCCTCCACTTACAACGACTAAATGCATGATTTTTCTTTTCCAAGAATTGACTTTCATTAACACGTACATTGAATTGCACCAAAAAATTGCAACCGACAAAACATATTGAAGAAGTTGGCAAGGAAGTGAGATATTCATGATCTCCAATGAGAAAGACTCTCCAACCACTCTCGTTTTGGCAATCGATTCAGACTCCTCATTGCCCCTAGTGCCAGTATCTCACTGACGAGGAGCTTATTCCCCAAAATCTAAGCGGCTTAGCCAATTGGAGAAAACTTTCCGACCAAAAGGCCTATTTGAAGGAAAGTAGCAGATACAGCGAACCATATGAACTGCCATGCCCCTTTACATGCCTAGAAGGCAAATGGACTGTCAAAGTTTCCTTTTAAGAGCAATGAAACAGAAGATTATCCAATGGCTAACAGCTAACTTGTCTCTAGGTACATGAAGAACAATTAAAGAGGAATTTACAGTTTTGGATATGACCCTCCTGAAGGGATCTCATCCATAGCGGGCAATTAACCAAAAGAAACCGAAGGATGAAATGGTAGGTTACCCCAAATGAGGTGGCCTTGTGATTTCTCTACATCCCACTCAAGAGGAAAGTAAAGAAGCAACTAGCCAAGAACCAACCTAGACTATTCCAAATTCGTACTTTCCTTATTGACATCCACAGGTGGAATATATACAAGGAAAATGACTTGGCGCGTCCCCTGACACACCACAATAGTAGCGGGCTCTATGAACTGCATCATCCATTAGAATGGATGGTGCAAATTAAGGCACATTTTTTGAGGAGTGGACTACCGGGAGAACCGGTTTCCATTTTCTTCAATATCCACCCTATAGTTACCCGAATCGCCTATGAGGGTAGCGATTTCGTTTCGAAATCTCAATTCGGCATTTCCCCAGGCGAAAGTCGATTCAAAAAGAAAGGAATCACGTTTCCATTTTTTGCGGAACGTGATTCCACCTAGTTTAGGAATCTCGATTCTTGGATTGCAGGAATCAAGATTCCATATCGACGACTTTGTGATTCTTAACTACACAAGAATGCGATTCTACTTGTGAGAAACGTTGATTCCAAATTTTTTGGAAATGCGAATCTATGTTGTTTGGAATCAATTTTCTATATCGCAAATATCGTGATTTCTTACTACACAACAATGTGATTCTATTAATGCTAAACGTTGATTCAAAGTACTAAGGAATTGCGAATCCATGTTCTCAAGAAGCAATGTGAGCATAGGGAGAGCAAAAACCCTTCGATGTGTGCTCAATCATGAGTGAGCGTGACATGTATGAGAGCGTGAGAGAATTTGAAGTTGTTCCACACGATAATAAAATCAAAATTTAAAATATGAGTAATATGTGAGCATAGAGAGAGCAGAAACCCTTCGATGTGTGCTCAATCATGAGTGAGCACGACATGTCTGAGAGTGTGAGAGAATTTGAAGTTGTTGCATGCGGTAATAAAATCAAAATTTCAAATATAAGTAATACGTTAAATTTTTTATTTTCTTATTTACTAATTTTCATCCTTTATTCCATGTTACTTTTTAAAACTCTTACCAAGAATAAATAATACTAAAAAAATATGCTAGTTCAAATTTAATAATGTTCGGTAAATGGTGTGGGTACTAAACTATTAATACAATAATATTTAATATATGATCGCACCGTCATTTCTTCAAGTTGAATAAGATGATAAAAATGTTTTTCTTTAAGTAAAATAAGAAGATAACAAGGATATGAGCGAAGTGCCCTGTGTGGTGTTTTAGGTTAAATTAATCATTAAATATCAGAGAAATTGACTAAAAATTGAATAACTCAATTTTTAAAAGTCAAAAGGCTCAAAACTACATTTAACAAAGAAGAATTACTATGCCATGTACTTATTTTATAATTCAAGGAAAGGAGATAAAGGAAGCTTGCCCTTGTTCTCACTCCTTGTATGTCGTAGACTAGCTCCAGACCTTGTAGGCATAATAAGGTTATCGGTAGACCGAGTCCATAATATAGGTATGAAATGCGATTCCAACATGAAGGGACATCGATTCTTGCAAACAGGAAGCACGATTCCAAATTTTTTGAATCGCGATTCCGAAATACTGAGAATCATTTTTCTCAAATCCGAATCGTACGGACAACGATTCCTAGATTCTGAAACTTCTGATACACACGATTTCGATTCCAGAAACGATTCGGAATCGTTTCCAACAACTATAATCCACCCATTAGTTGCCACATCAACCGTCTCTCTCAAGCACACCATTGTCTCTCTCTTCTGCCCTTCTCTCTCATCAAACCCAACACCTGTTCTCAAGTTTGGTTTACCTCTCTCTGTCTTCCCCTTGAGAGAGAAAGTGGTACATAAGAGGTATAGAAAGAGGAGACAAAATGGAGGAGGTTAAGATGTAAAAGCATCCAAGCAATGGCATTTATTCATGCCATTTCTCCAAATCAAGCATCTGAATCAAACAGCTACCAGCATCTCTACCCATACAGATGGAGAATGAACTCTCCACAATCTCAGCACATGTTCCAATTTTCTGGCCAAAACCAGTGGGCAATAGTTTTTCTACGTAAAATCCGATGATTAAGAGATTTACAGCTAGAATGAGATTTTGTATGTTTTGGGCATCATGCAAAAATAAGAGCAAGGAAAAGGTAAAATGCAGAAATAAATTTATTCAACTTAGATTTCCAAGATCCAAGTCTGTGGCTTCGACTACCCGGAGATTTCTCGTGACTTTTCCGGAGGAATGGGTAGTGTGTTTCCGGTAGGGGCTGCAAATCAGAGTTTGTATGTTTTTTGGTCCCCTTCTAGGGCTATCAGGGTTTTTTCGATTCATGAAAAACACGAATAGTTGGTCACTTGAGTAGGGTTTGATGGCAAAACATTATCATGCTCTATGATTCTTTTAAAATATCATACGTGATTATTCACCTTTTCTTTGGAGATTGTTGCTTCTCAATGAATGGATAGAAGAATTTCTTTCCATGAGAAATGCTCTTTGCTGCATTTTCCTTTTTTTAACTTATTTAATCCCATTTCGCGATTTGTTTTTTTTTCCCTTTGATTTCTTTAAAGGCTTTTTGGTTCTTGCAAAGTTGCTCCATATTATATTCTGAATGTCTATATGAAATAAAATGCATTTCTCTAGATTCCACACTGAGTTTCTCACATTGGATTCCTGACCCCCTCTGTCTCTCTTTTCCTTGGATTTCTTTTGTTTTTTTTTTACTTCTTTGTTTCTGGTGAAAAAATTAAAGAAACCATACCCTCAATCTAAAAAGAAGTCTGAGGATCACTGGAAGGAAGGAAGGCCTATATTGGTAGAGGTGGCAATGGGCCGGGTGGCTCGGTGCCACCCGGTCAGCCGGGGCCTAAAACATAGGGCCTGGGCCACTAAGTGTGGCCTGAGTGCGGGGCTTGGGCTAGGCCAAGGCAGGAGCGGCCCAGCCAAGCCCTTATTTCTTTATCATTTTTACGTTGTTTTTGTCCAGTTTTACCCGACCAGGGCCAGCCGGGCTTGGGCTGGCCCTCGGGGGAATAGGGCCAGGGCAGGCCCAGCCCAAGCCCGCCCCATTTCCAACCTATTGGCAATACATTTGAAAACTCATCCTATGAATGTTTTTGACTGCAAGAGGGAAAGAGTGCCTTGTGTCGGTCTTCAGTTTCGAAGGGGAAAAGAAGGTTAGGGGTTCAAAGAAAGAAAGAGGGGGTCCGGTAAAAAAAGGGCTTCTAAAAGGCAAGTACCACTGTGGCAGGGAATTCCCAAAAATGGGCACAATTGGGATTTTGTGTTTCCAGTTGTCCCCGTCTCAATCTGTGGGTGCAATCTGTACCATCTATTTAATGGATGGGCTAAAATCCAGGGGACACACAACTGTAGGTGCGTCCCCTAGTACACCATAACCGGACCCTATATACAAACTTTAATTTGCCCCATAACCTACCCAAATCCTCAATCTTCACATGGTCCAAGCACCCCACAAGGCTAAGATGAACTCCTCTTCAAATAGTCCCTAACAGTAACTCCAAAAGGGGCAAAAAAAAAAAAAAAACAGAAAAAGAAAAGAGTAATATTAGGAAAAGAAAACTCTTACACTCTTTTTTAACATTCTAAAAAATATTAGGAATAGAAAAATCATAAAAATGTTGTGACTATAATTAGTTTTAACAGTGAAAAAAAATTCAACTTTGAGAAACAAGAAAACAAACAGTCAAAAAGCAATTGCATGCTGTAGATCGACCATAAGATCCCCAAAATCAAAGACCCAAAGATTTCTTGGGGCTAAGCTTCCAATCGATCAGATACAAGGCTCACCAAAGCTCTGTCAAACACACATTTTGAAAATTGAATTCTTTCAAATCCACAAATATATCAGCAGTATCTTTTGCAATAAGTGTTTATGGATCTGACTGATCACCAAGAAACAATCCTAGGGCTGAAATTTGGGGGAAATACTCCCTGTTGGAAAAAATCGAACTTAAACTGTT